TGTCCGATGCCTTGGAACTTTGGCTGGTCGTCTGGTACAACTAGACCATTCTCATCACGGGGCTTCACAGGTTTGATTGCATAACCGAAGAAGAGCTGATTGGGCGGGAGTCGAAGTGGTTGAGGGCCGTTGGTTCTTCGGGTCGGAGGTGGATGCGAGGGATTTGAGGAACCTGGAGTAGGAGTGGAGGGGTTAGGGGTTGGGGCCTTGCTGCCCTTTTTAGCATTCAGACGCTGTCCTCCGGACAAGAAGTTGGATGATGCCGCACGGGCACCTGTGGCAGCATCGGTGGCATCGGGGGCAATGGCGGGGTAGTTGATCGATTGGGCCATAGTGCCATGGGGGTGTAATAGTCCACCCGCTGGAAGCTTTCCACCGCTAATGACACTACCCGGCGTGCTGGTCCCGCTTGCCCGCTGTGGTTCTTCGAATCCAACCGGTGCGGCGAAATCAACCTCCAAGTCGGTCTCTAGAACAGACACAGCATTCTTACTCCCAGAGGGTTTTGTCTCTAGAACTGCCATCTCATATACTTGATCGTTGTATGAAAAAGTGAAGACGTCGCCTTTGGAAAGGCATGAGAAATTCCGGAAGGCGTTTTCTAGCACAGCTTTGGGGTCACTGATGTCGAGGAAGGATGTTGACTGTGCTTGGAGTTTGATAAACTGGCCGGGAGGGAGGTCTGTCGATTTGATTTGAAGAAGGTCGCCAGGTTCAAGTAGTAATGTTTGCATCAGCTGTAGAGAACCGAGTCTTAGTACAATCACAACGCATTCGAGTTTGTCTTACTCACCCAGAATGGCAAATAGATTTTTCCCTCTTCGGCAATGAATTCGAGGACACCCGCGTGTGTCATCCTCTCTTTTGCACCATTATGAAGCTCAAACAACATCGGATAGGTAATGTGAAGTCGAGTAAGCTTGTCCAATGCGCTGGGAGGCATGATAACTTTGCCACCATGGTTCACATTCTCTCTTTCGGGGCCAGGAAGCATCGCCACTGGATAGCAGCGATAGTATTCATCGAAGCGACGAGATGTAGCACCCGGGCGAGGCATGCCGGCACCTAGGACTCCGTCCATGGGGTCGTCCGACCAATAACCGGGTCGGTACTAGAGCTGTTAGTTACAAAAGTAAAGATTGAGAGAGTTCAAGTTGATTCACCATATCGAATTCTTTGAGTTGAAAGGAATAAAGATGGGTAAAGAGAAAGGTGTTAGTGAGACCGGGTTTAATTGAGGTACAATGCCGCTCTCTGGATCGCCATCAGTGACGCAGTTCGCTCCGCCATGATTTTCCGCTCCGACCCCGGACAAGGAAATCAGCTCTCTCTGAGGCGGTTTAACCTTCAATTTTGCGCAACATTGTCTTTCTCATTTGTTTTCAACCGAAATTCCCAACCAAAGCGCCATGTCGAGCTCATTGCCACGACCTAAGCGCGCAGGCGAAGATTTCGCTAGTACCAGCTACAATGACGACGGCGAGGATTCCTCAGAACACAAGAAGCCCCGCTTCGACCTTCGCAACCCCTCAGCTCTTGCAGCTGATGCGCCCGAAGAAGACGCAGTACTAGACGCCGACGAAATCGGTAGACGCGGACAGAGAGTAAGACGCAAGGCGGTCAATCTTGAGGGTTACGATTCGGACAGCGAGAACGAGGGATTTTCTGCGCGCACAGAAGAGAAATCTAAGCGCAAGCAAGCCAAGGATGACGCGGATGATGATGATATGTTTGCCGAGCTACAAGAAGACTTCGGCGAAGAGGAAGTCGATGGCGACGAGATTATCAACAAAAACAAAAAGTCTGTCCGCTTCCTACGAGACGACGAGATTGAGGGCCAAGTTGCTTCTTCAAAAGGCGGAGGAGCGCTTCATGTCGATCTGAGCAAGGGTGGAGCCCAAATTGATGAAGAGGAAGATGGCAGTGATAGTGAAGTTGGGGAAGAGGAACGCGCACGAGTCGACGAAGAGGTGGACGAGGAACTTGGCGCGGGTGGAAAGAAAAAGCACGCACCTCTCCTAGATGCCTTCAACATGCGAACAGAACAAGAGGAGGGTCGATTTGACGACCAGGGCAACTATGTCCGCAAAGCAGTAGACCCCGACGCAGCCTACGACTCGTGGTTGGAGGGTGTTTCTAAGAAGGATATCAAGAAGGCCAAGGAGGCTGCCGAGCAACGCGACGCAGAACGCAAACAGAAGGACCGAATGAACGACAGCATTTTGACAGCGGATGTGCTGAGGACGATCATCACCCACCTCGAAGGCGGCGAAACCATACTCGAGGCACTGGCCCGACTAGGAAAGGGCCTTCGCCGAAAGCCTAAGTGGCAAAACAAGAAGAACAAGAAGAACGCCGTCGAGGATGTCGAGATGACAGATGAGGACCCTAGTGAGGTGGCCCGGAAGAAGGCAATCGATGATATCACTGGCGCCGCCGATATCTTGATGAGCCGCGGTCAAATGGATATCTATGACACAAAGCGCGATACTCTCACACGGCAGTACCGTAACGACACAGGTGAGGACTGGGTTGACCCTCCTGCCAACGGAGTGACTCAGCAAAGTCCAGCGATGTGGGAATATCGGTGGTCAGACGCTAGAGATGGAGGGGATGCCCATGGGCCATATGATAGTGCGATGATGGACTCATGGAAGAATGCGGGTTACTTTGGAGAAGGTGTTGAGTTCCGTCAAGTTGGAGATTCAGGACCGTGGAGCGGCACTGTCAATTTCTTGTAACATCATTCCCCCCATACCAATTACGATATTGCTTTGGCTACACAAAATACCATTGATGAATGAAATATTAATATCAGATCCTCCAGATCAGAGGACTGCAATTGAATCTCAAAGGCCAAATCACCTCAACAAGCGCCAATCCTATCATACATCGTTTGATGCAACAAAAAATAAAAATCAAGATCCAGTGTAGTTTTTTCGACCCGCTTAACTGCCCACCGAATAGCCCAGTACTAAAACATGTAACGCAATTAAGAAAGCTCCATGGCGTCACCATTGGTAGCAGCAGTGAAGCTAACGGTACCTTGGTCACCGATGAAACGCTGTTCATATTGATTGACGAACTTGACACTCCGAGCAGGGTCGTAGAACAATCGGAAGCTGCGCTGGACGTCATCAACACTAACCTCCTTGGCCTTGCGTTTTTGACTCAAGAGATGCGAAGTAGTAATGATGTTGCTGGCATAACGCAGGTTCGACTCCTGGCCAATCTTGGTGAGAAGGGCGAGAGCATCAGGCGAAAGATCGATCTCCTCTTCCTGTGCTCGGATGGCGAGGATTTGACGGATCTCGTCACCAGAGTACATCTGTGTGCTGACGATAACAACCCGATCGAGGAAGTCAAGGGGTAGGCCGTGAGGAGAGGTGTAGGTGGTTCCGCGGATGCGTGACTGGCCGCGATTGCTAGCCATGATGACGATAGGGGCCAACTCAGCCTCAAGGGCACGGTTGATGTAGGAGTAACACTCGATATCGAGCATGTGAACCTCATCGATGAACAGGACACCGGGAATAATCTCTGCTTTGCCCTCTTCCTTCCACTCAGCCACCTTGGTATTGATTTGGTCCCGAACTTCACTCCGAATCTCACCCGTATCGCCGGAGAAGAGGGCCAGGAAGCCTTGTGAACGCGAGTTAATGACGTCGATCTCGTGGAGGCTGACGGTGTGGACGATCTCCTTGCGAACTTGAAGCTCGCCTTCGGGGCATTGGACAAACTTGGTATCGGCGCCCATGGCGTCGTAGTCTCGAGAGCGTGCGTATGACCGACCGAGCTTCGTGATCTTGCCGGAGGACTTGTCGATCGAGATCACATCTCCTGCCATTACTCGTTCCTTGGTCATCGAATCAATCATCTTGGTTCCCATGTCGTAAATCGTTTCCATGTCCGTAGTCTTGATCGTGAGCTTTCCTTGTTTATTGCCCTGGGAGTAGTCAGTATCCAATGCTATTAATTCTTTCCACGTAGTGAGTCCACTCACACCAGTAACACTCCGGTCAATTTGAATCTCCACAACTTCACCCTCAATGATTTCGCTCTCTTCCTTAATGCGCACACCGATGGACTTCCGGAATGCCTGAATCAGGGCTTCTGTCTTCGACATCTCCATTGAGAAAATCTCAGAAGCAGCAAGCATGGTGAAAGGTACATCCGGTCCGAGAGATTGTGCCATGCCCATTGCAATTGCTGTCTTTCCAGTGCTAGGAGGTCCTGCGATCAGAACGGCGCGACCGGCAATCTTGCCTTCCCTCACCATCTGCAAAATCACTGCGGCGGCCTTGCGGGCCTTCTCCTGACCCACAAGGCCTTGAGATGATGTCCGAGGTTGAAGAGTGTCTGCATCGACACCGAGGCCTCTGATATGCGAATGGGCGGCGATGAGGTTCAGTCCCCGGAGCTCCTTGCCCTCTGCGATAGTCGAGATTGGCTATTTTGGTGTCAGCAACCATGGAAATATCATAGAAGAATTGTAACTCACTACAGCCATATTTGAAAATTTCCAGAGGGAAATGTATTTTAATCTGGAAGATTATGTTGGTAAAATGCGCCGAAGCTCTAGAAAATCAAAAGAAGAGAGAGAGCCAGGGCAGATCGCAGATCGAAGTGCTCCGTTACCGCCCGGCAGAATAATCGCTCAAAGAAACGGGGAATCCGTTTGACTTCATTTCCACTTCTTGTTTTTGCGTCACTTGACCCAGTTTCACAAATTTGGTGCTTGTCACATCTTCGATCTGACGTGTCCGGTTTCCTTCACTTCGTCAGGGGGAATCGACTAGGCATTTCAACAATACCTACCCCCTAAAAAGTACCGTACCTCACAGAAAGTTTTCGCGTGGGGAACGCGTTAATATTGCGTCTTAAGCGTTCCGTTCTAGGATTTCGTGCACACTACATCTCACAGCTATTCTCCGAGGTACCGCACTTCTGTTTTGTTGCAAATACGATGAGTATTTTGCAATACAGTCATTTCAGGGAATATGGCCAGCAGAATGGATGTTGACTCTCCCAACTCCAATACTCCCAAGCGACTCGGGGGCCGATTATCACTTGCACCCCAAACTAAAGCGCAAGATCCTCGGCTTGCCGGTACTGTTAGGCAATCAGTTGATCCCCAATCGTCAAATGCCCAGCAGGCACATTTAAACCTCCCCGCAAATCCCGCTTTCATCCAGAAACTTCCTGCAAAATCGCTCCCCCAGGTGCCTGTACTCTCGACCTCTAACAGCGCACCGGGCCCTACTTCCACGTACAACCAAAGTGCACCCAGTCGCCCAGGCGCGTCGTTGATATCAGATTTGATCAACTCATTGATCAAGGTGAACAAGTGCGAGGAAGAAAAAGAGAGACTCCAAAAGGAAATAGCTTCTATTACCAAAAACCTACAGAGGGCGAAGCAGTCTCCACAATTTCCGAGTGTCATCACCCTCTTCCAGCAACAGCTCGACGCGGCCAAAGATGAATTAGCCAACCATGTCAAGTCGATCACCCAGCATCGATCACTCTCCAATCAAGCGCAGAATAATTTAAATTCGACATTGTCGCAGTTCAAGCCCCAACCACAGCTCGAAAGCATACCTGGGAGGGTCGAGAAGCCGGAGTCCACAATAAACGGAATGGGGCAAGGCCGTGGCCCAACCAACAAAGATGATAATCCAACACAAGTGGATACCGGAATCGAAAGACTCCAAATGGAAATGCGAGGCCGGGACCAAAATATCGCTGAAATCGATGGAAAGCTGAAAGAAGTGCAGCATGCCCTCGAGAACCCCAAGGGATTGGAGGAGGCACTGGAATATATTCAAAGGATTGCAAACTCAGTCGCTCATCAATCTAAATGGAAGGGTCAATTCATGGACAAAATGTCAAGCCTTGAAGTCGAACTAAAGGTTGCCGACAAGGAGCTTGATGACAAGATTTCTATTATCAAGAAGATGGTCGATACCGTCGAGGAAGAAGTGAAAGTTTCCAACCAGCAGCTAGAGACCAACATTTCGGATCTTGGCTGCACACTGAGAACTACGAATGACCAGCTTCAGGGCAAGCTTTCTTCCATTGAAACCGATGTCAAGTCGCTCAGTACCGCGCAACTTAATTTCAAAAATAGCGCGTCGACTCGTGTTTCACAAATTGAGACTGACCTGGAGGCTCAAAGGAAGCAAACCACAGAGCAGATCACCGCCCAAGAAACCCTTCTGGCCTCACTCAGGACCCAACAACAAAACCTTGATAACAGCGGCCGGGTCTCATCAGAAAAAACTCCTATTCCCCATAGTGGAGTGCTTACGAGAGTAGCATCTCTGGAAAAGAAAGTGCAAAACCAAGCAGACCTCCTTAACAACATCAAGAACCTTCATCATGACGTGGATGTCATCCGTGTGGGTGAGTTGAACTCTTTACGCCAGGAACAAGAGTCGCGCCAAACGTCACTTGAAACCAAACAAAACGACACTTTAAAAAAGGTGGAGGACCTGACCAGGAAATCTGAGGAAATGACAAATACTCAGACGACACTCGATACGGCCCTTAGCCAATTTAGGGTGTCCTTGCCAGCGAACCTTGAGCAGATCAAAAGCCATGTCCAAAGTGGGCTAGATGAATTCGAGACCCGCCTTGCTCCAGTCTCCGGCCTTCCTCAAGCTCTAATAAAGTGCGAGAGTAAAATCGACACTGTCAACAGGGCCATTCGCTCACTAGAAACACGATACTCTAATATTACTACAGGCGACTTAGTCAATTCCATGGCACATGCTATGCAGCAAATGTACCCCTCTGTTGATCAACTGAGTCAACATTTGACGGCCTACCAAACTGACGTTGAAGCCAGACTTTCTGCACTCAAGAAAGACGCAGATGCGCTCAAGGTTGACACAGAATCGTTCAAGGCAGATACAAACCAATTCAAGGCAGATACCCAAAAGGCTCAGGCAGACGCACAAAAAGTCCAGCCTAACGCAGAGAGGTCTGAGGCAGCACAGGTCTCACCCGAACAGCTCCAGAATTTGACTCAGATGCCGATTTTGCTCCAACAGGTCAAAGACCTCTCCAATAAGCTTGCACCGATCGAGGTGCTCATCAAGGAACATAGTGTTGAGTTGCAGAGAAACCTTGAACTGCGGAGCGAATTACAAAACCAAGTCACGGCTCAATACGACGCCATCGAAGGCATTTCTGAAAAGGCCGATGACCAGGATGTAGAGATTGGAAAAATCACCGAGTCCACGCAACATATTAGTTCATTGATCAGCAAGGTTGATGCTCACATCTCGCAACTCCAAGAGGTTCGACAAACGGTTGATGAGTTAACCAAAGGCACGGCAAAGACAGACGTTACCGCGAGTGATAGTCTTAAGAAGATCTGGCCACGACTGGAAAAGCTGGAAAGTCGGAGCAGTATCGAAGATAAAGTACTTGACGAACTCCGGGGACAACTGAAAGACATGGAAAGCCAGAACACTACAGCGGATCAAGGTCTTAATGACGTTCGGGAAAAGCTGCAAGACCTGAAAGATCGCAACGCAAAGGAAAGTAAGGATTTTGGCAAACTCCGGGATCAGTTGAAAGCCCTTGAAGACCGGGAACCACAGGTCTCGTTGGAGAAATTCAATGAGCAGGGGGATGAAGTAAAGATGTACATTAAGCGCCTGAGAAGCGCTGAAGACATTTTCAAAGCCCTTGCAGGAGGAGCTAAAGTCTCTCATGTTATCCGCAAAATGGAGGCGGAGGAGAGCACCGATGGGAAGGAAACTCCTCAGCCCCAACCGAATGGTCATGCTTTCACCCCAAGGCCGACGGCAACACCAAAGACAGTTCCCATAGGCCCTACTCTAGCTGCATATCAGCCGGTCCAGTCCAGCGTGAAGGGCCAGCCCGACAATTCTACGCCAACCGGTTCGAAGTCCAATCACTCTGCAACGCAAGCTCGTCAGCCCTCACAGACACCCAGTGGACCCGGCAATAGTCATCCATCGCCATATTCTGGCAAATCCGTTGAGCCCCGTCAGGTTCAACATTTGAAGGGAAAGCGACGGGTGTCCTCTGTAATGGATTCTGATGACGACAGAAACTCAACCGAATCCTCTTCGGTGCTTGAGTCTTCGCCGGCTCCTAGCTCTTCTGCTCCGGTATCTATAACTCAGGGCTCTAGCAAAAAGGAAAGGAAGAAGACGAAGAAGAGAGCGGAGCAGGCAGAAGAGAACCCCAAGGCTTCGAGCAGACCAGGCAAGAAGCGAAAACGAAACAAGCAAGGTGATTGAGTGGGTCCAGAACCGGTCTCATATGACTCGTTCTCCACGACTACGTCGTCTCCCCTCCCCATCACCCTCGAATTACGACTCGCCATGTGACCGATTGATCTCAAAATGAGCCATCTCTGAGGGAACCATCATTAGATGCGTTATCGCCACTTGGTCGATAGGCTCCAAGCCTAGCCAACGATTTGTTATCGAAATCGATATTACTCAGCATACCACTGGGCGAATTATTATTGTACATTTGACTCCTCTACATACGTCTAATTTATAAAGTCACGTGATCAATGCCATACCCCAATTATACTTATCCCAACTATGTCGACCCCAAAAACTTGACCACCGCTATTATCATCAAGTAAGCATAAAAATACTATTAAATAGTGTTGAGAAGAGGGAATAATTACCTTGGCGAAATGCTTCAGGGTTCTCAGAAATGAGCCAGTGACCCGCTTCGACGTCCACAATCTGGGCGTTGGGGAAGAACTTCTTGATAGCTGGCACAGTATCGTCCGAAACGTATTTAGACTTAGTGCCACGAACAAAGAGCGTCGGGCCGTCGTAATGGAGGTTATCAGATTCCTCGAAAGGGAAATCGGCCATATGATCCAACGAGCCGCCGATGACGGATAGTGGCACTCGGAACTTAAGTGTGTTATCTTCCTCGGAGCGTATCAAGTTGGTGAGAAGGAATTGACGGATGGGAAGAGACTGGGGCAGTGTTAGCATGATAAACATTGCCGAAGGGGTGAGTGCTAGTCCCGTCGCTGCGCTTTGTCCCCCTAGTCAGAAAGATCAACACCCCTTACCTCTTCGTAATCCTCGAGAATTTTGTTAGCATCGGATTGCTTTGACACCTTCGCAGCTTCGATTTTCTGCATCCCGCGAACGTATTTGGGGAAATCGCTCTTTAGTGCTGCGTTCACCGGTGCGTTGTCAACGGGGATCAAAGCTGACACCCGTTCGGGGGCGCGCAATGCTACCGCCATTGCGGCTTTGGCACCCCTTCACCAATTGTTAGTATGAGAAGAGAACCCAACATGAATGATTCCTATGTATGCTTGCGCTGCGCTTGGCATCGGGAATGTGATCACATACATGGAATGTCCGATCAAGACGCATTTGTTGAGTTTCTGCCGTTTGATAAACTTCTGCACGTCCTCCGCCATAGCACCGTAATTGTGCTCAGGAGCATGGAAAGAATGGCCATGGTTACGCAGATCCTGTTCAGATATGTTTAGGTCTCTCGGATGACAATTTTTTCATATCTTTCCGGGGACAAGCCGAAACTTACCAGTGCAAAGATCTGGCATTTCAGATCCCGTGCCAAAGCCCTGAATGATATGTAAGAACACAAATTTTTGTTAGATGTTGGGTTACAAAACATACTTGCCGATACTCCTGTTGTTCTGCTTTGATCCAAATAGTCCGTGTAGAATCAGAATGGGGTCTCGGACAGCTTGGCTATTTTCCTCGCCGAAGACTTGATATGCCAGTTCAGACTGGAGCCTACGGGTTGTGGAGAAAGCCCGGAGGCCTGGCATACCACGTGCAGCTGTCCGGAGAGAGAACATATTTCGATCTTCGTGTTCAGAGAATGGCAAGTATCAAGAGTTGGATCCCTGATGATCGGGGAACCTTGGAATACCGCCCGGTCCGCGGGCCGGTTGCTGACTAAGCGAGTTTGTTGGTCCCGGGGCCGGCCTGAGGTCGAGGCCTATCCAAGGGGGTGCCCCAGCCCCGACCCAGGCATAGTTCAACAATTTTAAGCCCCTAAGCATCATGACTGGATTTCTTGTTCCGTCGCTAACTGGCAAGATAGTCTAACGGAAATTTTAATTGTTATAGAGATTGGGGAATATGTTTGCAGGTACAATTGACGTCGACTTGTGGTACTTCAGTTAACAGTTCCTGAGGTTCGCTGGTAAGTGTGTTTCAGGGTACTCTGTTGCGTTGGGCGTACGTGTAGGATATCCCGGGGCATCATGACCGGCGGTGAAGGCTGGGGCGGTTAGGGAAGGCGCAACCCCGCAATTGCCTTGCATGTGCGGAGTACTGCCCAGGTGGGTACATGACCAAAGGTGTCACTGCAAGGTCTGGGCCTCACAACTTCATCTCAAATCTCAAACCTTCCCACCCCACTATCTCTGCTACACTGCCTCATCAAGTAGTTTCTAATATCCATCAAATCAAATCACTTCATTTCACTTCATTATGGCCGATCAACCGAAACCGTACAAGATTTCCGTCCCCGATGAGAGTCTCCAGGACCTTCAGCAACGCCTAGCACTTTCCAAATTCCCTACTCAGCTAGAGTCCTTCGAACAAGATCCTTGGGATTTTGGAACTCCAGTGAAAGAAGTGCAGCGACTCATAGAATATTGGAAGGATGGCTTTGACTGGCGGAAAGCAGAAGCAAAGTTGAATGAGCTGCCCCAATATCAAACCCAGATCGAGGTTGATGGATTTGGTAGTTTGGATATCCACTGTGAGTTTCATGCATGTACTCTGAAGTGTTTAATATTCACAGGGTTCAACATGTAGATGTCCACCAAATCAACACCAACAAGAACGCCATTCCACTGCTTTTCAGCCATGGATGTAAGCATTGATCTCCTCTTCTATAACAATGATCATTTTTCCCATCGCAATACGGTCTCTTATCTCTACATATAGGGCCGGGATCATTCATCGAAGTCACAAAACTGCTACCGATGCTAAAAGGCGACAACAACAGTCCCGCATTCCACGTTGTGGCTCCATCGCTACCCAATTTCGGCTTCTCTTCAGGAGTCACTCGTCGTGGGTTTTGCCTTCAACAATATGCCGAAGCTTTGCACAAGCTCATGATCAAGCTCGGCTATGATCAATATGGTATGACTCGAAACAAGCCGGAATGTACCAGCTACACCGGAAACTAACTTGATTATACGTAAAGTGACTCAGGGTGGAGATTGGGGATTCTGGATCACTAGAACTATCGGTCTACTATACCCCGAGCACTGTCAAGCCTCTCACATCAACATGGTACTGGCCACTCCCCCTCGATTCACCGATAACCCATGGTTAGCCCTGCAGCATGCACTGCTGCCATATAATGACCGGGAAAAGTCAGGCCGCGAAAGGAGTAAATGGTTCGAACACGAAGGTTACGGTTACAACCAGATCCAAAGCACCAAGCCGCAGACCATTGGTGCAGCACTAGAAGATAGCCCTGTTGCCTTGTTAGCTTGGATTTACGAGAAACTCCACGACTGGACAGACGCATATCCCTGGACCGATGACGAAATTCTAACCTGGATATCTGTCTACTGGTTTTCTGCGGCTGGACCCGCAGCTAGTGTCCGCATATACTATGAGGCATTTCACGCTGAGACGGTCAAGGGGAAGTCTTACAAGGACTTGATTTCATATACCCCACATGTGAAGCTGGGAATTGCGCACCTCCCTCATGAAATCTCCGTCATTCCTTGCTCTTGGGCTGCTGGTCTGGGTCCGGTTGTTCAACAGAGCGAGCATGCTCGTGGAGGTCACTTCGCCGCTTGGGAGGTTCCCGAATTTATCATTCAGGACTTGCAAGCCATGTTTAGCAAGAATGGCCCTTGCTATGGGGTTGTTTCAGGCAAAGATGGATACTAACTAACTATGTGATGGTTACTTAGTTACTATTGTGGTGTCTTCGGTGTGATACTTGGATATATATCCTATCGATGTTAGACTTTTTTCACGATAACTTGGCATGTTTTTGCGATTTTTACCTGAGGACAACGGAAGTAGAGATAGAAAGTGGAAAGATTGATTGGTATTGGCTATGGCTGGATATACTTCCTCCCTCCCAAAGTTGTGCGCTCATATAACCATGACCCCCAAACTGACCAATAAAGACAGCAGTACATAGTACAATGAACGACCTATCACAGTAGCACTACCAGTCACTGTCTGAAAGGCGATTAGTGACGCATTGTGGCTCGACGCCCCTGGCAGAACCACCTGCGAGGAATTCGCAGCATCCAAACTACCCGTGAACGTGAATTCGAAAGTCACATTTACTTTTGTGTCAGTGCCCCGCCATCGAGAACGACTTTCAAACCCCGCAATTGTCGAGCCGGAGAAATTCAGCTTAAGAGTTTCATTGGTCATAGAGCCATTGATGTGTGTTCCAGTGGGCCATACAAAGAGGATTTTTCCCAACTTACTCCTCTCAGAGCATAGACCATCCGGAAGGGAAATCTTCTCACGCCCAAGACCGGTATTATCATAGAGTGCTGGTTCTAAATAGCTCCTTTCACTATCTGCCCAGTCTTTGAGATCATAGACCCCGTCGAATAGAATCTTGTTGCTGTTATCAACCGCCTGGGTGATGTTGAATGCAACGGCATCCATGGCCTTCTCGACCGAATTTTCATTGTACCAGTCCACCGTCGTGGTGAGTTGTATGAGATCCGGGTCTTCACATAATTTGTATGAATAATCGATATCCGAGACACGGACGTTGCTCTCCCAGGCCTTAAAACCCAACGTGAAGGGATTGACTGGTCCAGCAGGGGTGGGAGTTTTGGCACCAACCCATGCAACGCCCAGCATGCGCATGGACTGTCTGCCAACGGGACATTCGATCAAAGATGAACTAACGATGTCGTCTTCGGTCAAATTGTTTGGTGGTGTGATAATTGTGTATTTGAGATGGGCGTCACCTTTAAAGTAGACACCATCCCAGTCGGTTTTAACACTCGCATGACCACGGCGTGGTGCCTGATTGTATTTGTAGTAGTGCGAAGGTTGAAGATTATCGAAGTTGAGAACGTGGGTATCGAAGCAGTTGGTTGCGCCCCAGGATGATGATGTTGATGAAGAAGTGTCATCACTATCAGAGCCACTGGAGGCACTCGAGGCACTCGAGCCACCTGAGCCACCCGAGGTACTGCTGTCGCCGTCACCGCCACCCTTCCGTGATAATACTCCCGTCGGGACAGCCAGCAAGGCCAATGTTGTGAGAAAAGGCCGACGAAGTAACATTGCTCTCGTAATCGTAACTCAGTTCATAGGATATCAAAATAAAATCGTTTGTCAGCTCATCATCTCGAGTTGTTCGTCAAGAAGAAGAAGAAAGAGGAAGCTAGGAAAGTGAAGAATGCTCCAGTCAGGCACGGGTTTATGAACACAGGGGTTTGCCGTAAAAAATAATTGGTTTTGTGTCCTAGTGAAGTGATAACACGGGATTTATACCTAGCTGACCCTGAATGCCAAGGTGCCAAGGTGCCAAGGGGTTGAAACGGGACGGTGCTCGTGTTCACTGGATAACCATTGGACAGGAAGTCATTAAGTGCCCTTTTTTTGGAGTATCTGCAACTTTAATGGTCGTATTGATCAGGTGTCGGTTCAGGGTTTGGGGCTGTGGATTGATCGTCGAATTTAGCTCGGTGGATCGACAATTTCCGGTGGGAGATTATTGCTTCTGATTCCAAACTTGTTGTTAGATTGGAGCCGATCGATGAATATATACCATTCAGCCCTAGGATATCGTATAGTAACACCTCGGTGTGTGGCATTGCTAAGGGTGGTTACAGAGGCCCAGTCGTAGGTCCATGATACGGATCCCGTATAAGATGCACTGCTTTGGCAACAGAACGATGGATGCTCTATGAAGCCGTGCAGACTCTTGCTGGATAGGTTTCCAGAAAGGGACTAGCATCATCACTGGACATAAACTCCTAGAGCCCACTTGTAGGAGGTTGGAAGGCATTCCTGGGCAGTCGAAGTCACTCAGAGTTAGTGCCTTTCCTTTGTTTGAGCCAATCTCCGCAAGATCTTCACGAAGATGAAGGATGAAAGATGAAACCAGCTGAGGATGATATAGTCATCAGAGAAACGAGCCCTGGTAGAGTGTCTTTTCCCTCAGAAAGGAAAATCGAAGATCAAATTGGAGAAGAGAACCAAACCCAGAAGATTGGAAGTTGCGGAATTAGGCAAGCGCCTTCCATCACTGAAACGATCTCATCAATTCCATCTGTTATAGTTCATCGTTCTGAAACTGGATTTTCAGGATTTTAGAAGTTCTGATGGTTTGCAGAGCTAATGTTAGGTCCTTGCATAGCTTTTTGTGTTCTTCTTTGGTTACACACGTGTCTAACACGCCATAAAGAGCAACGACGAGCGTTTATTCCGGTTGCACTCCTTCTAGTCGCCAATGCCCATGAGTTCTCCCATCTCATATTTTTCCATTCCCTCTAGTCATTTGAGAGCCACCATGAGACACCAACACGCAAGAGGCGAGCTGGAGTCTTGATTTCATTTGAGCGAAGTCTTCACTTCATGACACCGAAAAATGAATCTTGGAAGCAAGACTCAATGACACACTTCGCTTTCAACTTCCATGAAAAGGAAAAACTTCCTATTTTGTCATATTGTGGAATATTCTTTGCAGTTTAGAATGCGCACCTGCACATATCTTTGATATGATAGCAAAGGCCTTGTCTCAAACATATATACTCGTGGACCATCAATGACTGATTTTTATACCGAACTGCGTGGAATGTGATAAGAGACTTGTACTCAAGCGTTTATTGAGGCATAGATATATACATGTTCATATTTAAAATATCTAGCTGTCCAGCAGCGTGGGCACATTCTCAAGCAGATATTCAACAACGGCATCGGGCCCTCGCTCGACCTGCAAGCCCTGGGGAATGGCGTGGAGCTTGATATCGGGTCGAACAGAACGAGCGATTTCGTGGATCTGTGCGGCCTCCTCGGGAGACCACATAGAGGCGCTGAACTATTCGGGGTATTAATGTGGAATTCCAGCTTAGGAATGCTCGAGTATTCAAAGTCGGACTTACCAGAACCTCGGGGTTGTGCTTCTTGACCTTGGCCTCAACTTCGTCAATTTCTGTGCAAGGGTTTGTCAGCCGAAATTCAACCACAATGACTCTCAATATGCTTACTCTCGCAGTTGTCGACGTGGATGATAGTGTACCGATCGCTCAAAGCCTCGATGAGGCGGCCGATGAGGCGCTTGGCGCGTTCGGGTGCGGTGTTGACGCTAACCAAGTGGAAGGGACCTTTAGGAGCAGACATAGTGACGAGATAGGAATGTTAATTATTTACAAAAACGTGACAGTCGTGGGGGTTCACTCTTTTTATTCTCCAAGCTGGCATCGGCCGCGCTCGCCACTTCCCCACATTGTGGGATCCTGCCCCTCCGGCTTATACAGCGCCGGGCTAGACATACTCCGCTATCGGTCTCGATAGTCCGTATTATATTTGGGGGTTCTGCTACAATTTACTTGCTTCCCTTCTTTATTCTCCAATTAATACAACAATGTCCAAAATTGCGTCTACCTTCTCGCGTAAGAACTCTCAAATCGATCCTAGATTCCCAACTGACAACAAATAGGCCTGGTGCGCTTTGTCCCCAAATCGAACCCCGCTAAGGTTCTAATCGGAGAGCCCGTTGATCCTAAGTTGGATGTCGGATTAGCTCTCTATCAGGGCAAGGAGGTTGCGGTGCGCCCGTTCTCCGGCACATCGGTCCTGAGCCCTGGCCAAGTGACTGACGCGACGGAGACTATTGCGCGTATTCTGTCCCCTTTGGCGCAAAGTGAGGTTGGAACTATTAGATGTATTGGTTTGAACGTGAGTTTCCAATGGTGACAGGAAGACCTAGAGGAAGTCAGGCTCCTAATGCACATTGTAGTATGCCTCCCACGCCAAGGAGATGTCTCTCCCGATCCCTGAAATGCCAACGTTGTTCTTGAAGCCGGCTAGCTCCCTGGCTGATCCTTGGCCTGCGCCAACAGTTCTGCCTAAGATTACCCAGCAGGATAACACCGGCGACTACGAATCCGAGATGGTTATTGTCATTGGCCGTGATGCTAAGGATGTGCCCGAGTCGGAGGCCCTCGACTATGTCCTTGGTTACACAGCCGCAAACGATGTCTCCAGCCGCACTTCTCAGATGAACCAGAGCCAGTGGTGCTTCTCCAAGGGCTTTGATGGCGCATGCCCGATTGGTATGTCTATAAGGCTGGATACTATTCAGAAGAAATTGGCACTGACTCGATACCTATAGGCCCTGTCCTCGCTTCTGCTGCTCTCATCCCCGATGCCAGCAAGCTCCAGATTCGCGGTCTTAAGAACGGAAACGTGATGCAGGAGTACTGTCCGTTGACGTACGTTGTATTTGCTTTGCATTAATCCTGCTATACAAAACAGTACCAGCTAACATTGAATTTCACCGCAGTGACCTTGTCTTCAGCGTCCCCCAGCTGATCAGCTTCCTCTCCCAAGGAACCACTCTTCCTGCCGGTACAATCATCTTGACCGGCACCCCGCCCGGTGTTGGCGCAGCTAAGAATCCGAAGGAATTTATCAAGGCTGGCGACGAGTTTGCTGTTGAGCTGCTGCCCCATATTGGAACACTGATCACCAAGATCGAGCACCAGTGACAAAATACAGTGTATAAAATGATAGAAGTCACTTCTTGAGGCAATATATTTCCCTTTATATACATCCACTGAGACTTGCACCTGCTCTAGGCAATGTTAAATATTAGTCATGCATTAGTCATTTAAGCCTTATGTGAGGTGATCGTCTGGTGCATATGCGCCGAAATCTGCTTACATACACGGCACAATCAACATGACCATTAAGGACTATTAGAGCCACCGCTCTGGGTATAATAAATTCCTGACCCAAGCCACAAGGCAAAGGGATTCTACGGAGACGCAAGTCAACAGTCTGTATCGCGAAGCTTTGACCAATCACAGAGCTCGGTCGGATATAAACTCTTCCCTCCACGGAGTAAATCTATCCCGCCATATCACCCTATAGATCCTTTACTGGGTTTACTGGGCAACTGTATTGTAAAGGAGGGCTAAATTGCTTAGAAAAGGGCCAAAATGTGCCAATGGGTGAGGTGGAAGCATGAATTCGATGCTTATAGACTTAGGAGAGATTCCTTTACTGATCAAATGTTACTATCATAGTCATGGTTAATTGGTTAATTGGTTAATTGGTTAATTGGTTAATTGTATAACGTGAACCCTATACTGTTCTAGCATAGTAATAGTAGTAGGCTGAAAGTATTTAGCCAGAACCACAAGCCGAACTGTACACCCGGTGGTTGTCTGATATGGCCCGTGGGCCTTGTTGTCCCGCGATGGGTCGATTTCAGCGCTACGGGAGTATACCGGGTCGGCGTCCCGAGCTGTCCCCGTTCAGAGTGGTTTGCTTAAAAGACGGTCTGCGGCCTTTTTACGTGAAAGGATTTTTGCTGGATTTCTATTGTTGAGTCAAACCCCTCTCTCTTATTTTTCTTGATTTCTTTACACGAATGTTGCTGCTCCTAGCGCCATCAAAAATTTATGCCTCTATACACATCCCTATAGGTGACGATATGATTTCTTGAACAGAACTCAGCCAATCTTGTTCATGTTACTGTTATATTTTGACGATGGATATTTTTTCTTGCTGATTACAAAAAGCTCTTTGAAGAAACATGAAATTTATTGGTCAAGTTATATACTGTCTGGAACCATCTTGCCGTGTTCGATGCCGATACCGATGCCGATGCCGAATCTTCGTCTAACTAACCCGAACCCGAAGCCGATTACTCTATCACTCTATCATACCCACCAATGCTCTGAAAAACTTGAACCGAAACAACAATCATGAAACGTGAGAAAGTGAAACACCAAAATCGAAGTCGATTTCCATTCTAGTGCATTTACTCCTCGCTACGCCAAATCTTACCCCGCCAGTGCAGGAAGATGGTGGGGATAACACTGACGACGACAATCAGCGCCGACCCAATGCCTGCGCTGGGCGCAACACCGACAGTCTCGAACATGGGGGCAAACCTAAGCTCAGGTTAGCGACAACTCTGCAAAATAAAGGGAGGAGAGAAAGAAAGCATACCAGAAAGGACCAAGGAAACCCCAAATCTGTCGGACAAACGTGATGAACACTCCAATGTTACCAGCTTCCTGCGGGAAGCAATCGATAGCATAGGTGATCATCACCGTGGTGACAAGCTGGTTTCCGACAGCGCCAATAGCGGTACCGATAATGGGCGTGACGTTCCAGTGTCCACTTGGCGATTCCTGCGTGCAGACCAGGAAGACAATAATACCGATGATGGTGAGTGCGAAACCGAAGTAGCTGAGCCACAGTCGGAATTCTGGCTCGGCCTTACGGTTGATGCGTCGACTGCGCCGGCTCATCCAGAAGTCTGACAGCACGCCGCCCATTTGCTCGCCGATTACGGAACCTATGATGGCACCTAGGAACTGCATGCCTAATTGTTCGGCATTGAGCTCGAACTTCTCTTGCAGGAGTTGGGGAATCTCGACGGTCGCGAGAATATTACCGAGGAGGAAGACCATGGCGTATGCGCATGCTGGGATGAGGATTGACGGGTGTCGAGCCATTGTCAGTGGGCGGACGAACTCGAACCATGAGAATGGTGTGGGGTCAATCCGTCGCAGTGACATGTACTCGATCTTCCTTGTTGACTCCTTGCTGTCGATTTTGCTGCCCAGATACCGGGTTTCGGGGCCGAAGAACAGATACAAGATGAATTGCCCGCCATTGATCTTGGGATTTATCAGCTCATGAACAAGTTATTGACTATCACGGGGGCGAGAATTTACCATTGCAAGGATCCAGTAGATCCAGTGATGACCAATACGGTAGGTCACGAAGCCGAAGATGAAAGGTCCGACCGGGACACCCAGGGTGACCAACAGTGTCCAAACGCCCATGTAACGGGCGCGGTCTTTCTTGAACGTTGTCTCCATCACGACTGCACTGCCAATGGCAGAGGCAGGCGAGATGAAAAAGGCCACAAGGGCTCGACAAGCAGCCAGAGAGGCATACGTGGTGCTCTTTGCACACCCGATATTACACACGAGACTGCATATAAGGGAGAGGAGGAAGATAGGCCGGCGCCCATACCGATTGGACAGCGGCTTCCAGAACAGAGGGGCGCCTCCAAGGATGGCAATTTGCAAAGAGGTCAAGTAACTAGCATCTTGCATCCCGACACCCAGTTCTTTGGAGATGTCTGAATAGGCAGGGATGATGCCGGCGGCGGTAAATGTGCCCATGCAAGCGTGGAACGCCACGAGGATAAGATTAGTCATTTTCTGCGCGTTGATACATCAGTCTTCTGCTCGGCTGTTGCTTTTGTCTCGCACGAAGTCATCTCGTAGCAGGGGAATATTGACTTACCTTCCACTCAGGCCAGTTGTAAGGGTCAGCTGGGCCCATTCCGGGAATAGGGTCGAGCTCCAGAGTCCCGTGTCGCTCCATCAGATAGTCTCTGTGTGCCTTTGGCAGATGAGCAGTCATTGACTCGGTGTAGGTGGCTACCCGTCCATGTCCTGCACTCTCAATAAGATCGATGTCGGTTTTTGTTCCTGGCGCCTCGACCTCATCTGATCGAGACGAACTCGCTTGCAACTCCACGGACGTCATGGTACTTGCGTTATTCTTCGATGGGAAGTGAATAATGAGACAAGCACTCAATGGCCCGAATTGCCCTCGATCTATGACCCAAGGTAGCGTATTGATTGTTGTGAGAATAGGAGGAAGTGTGGGGGAGTATTGAATGAGAGGACTACAGGAAATAATGTCTCAGGATGAGCCAGTTGGGGGCATCGGGGATAAACAATAATGATGGCGGATTTGGGACATCTGCACCTATCTCCGCTGGGGACGTGAAATCAGTGAGGGACTGGTGAAAAATGCCAGGGTGAGTGGGCATAGCCAAGACACTAAACCCACGGCCTTCGCCCAGTCGGACCTCCCCCTGCGCCTGGGGTAGGTATTCCCGGGGGTTTCGGCTCCGTTGCGGGTCCTTCGGTGGGAAATAGAGCGAAAATGAGGAGAAAATGGAGAGAAATGCGGAGGCACTCCACGGTTCTTGATTGGAAAGCGTCGGTACCGACCAGTCAAGATGCCGCGAAATAGATTGCTTTCATGGGATCGTGCAAAAGGCATCGCCATGGCACTTGAACACGGCTACCCGATGAAGCCTTTTAGTATGCAAGTGCGCCTCCCATCCCGAGCCAAGTACCGAAACAGTTTGCATTCTGATGTCTTGGCGCAATTTCCTTGGGATCAAGCTATTTGTTTGGTTGCATTCATCATTGAGCTAGGAATTTTTCATCGGGACGGCATTTCCAATGTTGCCCGCAAGCCGCGCAATCCTGAGACGTATTTGAGGGGACTTGGTCTGAGCATAGTAGCCACACTTCCTTGGCTTTATTGCCACGACGCCTTATTTCCGCTTGAATGCTTGAACGTTTCTAAGGATATTTGACTGAAATTCAAACATCTCTTTTAGTTGCTTGATCTTACTTCATAATTCAATCTTATTCACTTGGAATAAATAATATATACATTTGAACCTGATCTCTGTAGTCTCCAAGATCTTTCAAGCCTGGGGCAAAATACGGTCCACCGGAGGTATAATTCCGTGATCGCATAAGCAGTCCCCGGGTGAGGTGCCACACCCCACAATCACCTCTCCACAATCTACTTTCTTGCTGTTTCTTCTCCTCGACAAGAATGGCGTCAATGGAGACAATGGCAGTACTACCTGCACTGCCAGGGGGCAAGAAACTGATTTGTCGAGTATGCCAAAAAGCATTCTCCAAGGCTGAACACTTGAGGGTGAGTAGATTTCCAAGGTTGGCTTCAAATCCAGCTTCCCCACGAAAGAGGGACCGCCAAGTGATAGGAGATAGCTAACGGGTCTTTACACATAGAGACATGAGCGTTGCCGTATGTTCTAATTTTATCAGATCCACTGGTCCTTTTCGATCTCAGCACAGATTTCAAAACGAAAGATCTACCCAGCTGACTAGAAGACTTAGATACGGGATCTAAGCCATATGTCTGCAAAGAGTGTCGAAGGCCCTTTGCCCGACAAGATGCTCTTACTCGCCATGAAAAGCTACACGCTCGTGCCATAAATTCAAAGAATGACTCATCGGATATACACTTACCGCCACAGCCTACCTCTTTAGATTCTCTTCATTCCTGGGATACGAGTAGTGTTTCCACTGCTGACCCAGCGTCAACTTCAGCAACAAGTCACTCCTGGGATGAGACGCATCCTGGAAACCATGCGAGTATGCACAATGTTGCGTCGGACTTGGACTTTGCCTTGGTCTGGCCCGACTCGGAAAGCTTATTTCAGACCTTGATGTCCTCGGACACGACAGATCAGTGGCAGATGCCGCTTGGTACCTTGCCCTTTCCGCCTGTTGTGCAAGATATAAATGGTATGAACTTCGGGTCTCCGAATTTATTCGATGACCGTAGGTCTTCTGTCGGCGCCATACCATCCGGTGGAGGGCATCAGGCAGTGCAAGATGTCACAGAGATGGTAACGAGCTCGGTAAGTTGAATGTTGCATTTTGTCAGGCAAGAGACCCATAGTTGTTAAAAATCTCAGTCAAAACACAGGTTAAACCAAGATTTGAGCTAAACTGACATCCCATTATCCTAGTCATCCAGTGTTACTGCCGCCGTCAAAGCCACATCTATCACTTCCGTATTCCTCGACGAATGTCTTCATATGTTCTTTGTCCGCTTCATCCCCACATTCCCAATCTTGCATCGTGCAACCTTTGTTTTCCGGGAATGCACCCATGCTCTCCTCCTTAATGCCATCGCCATCGGCTCTTTGTACCTAGGCCCCAAGGACTCGGTTGCGAAGGGCGAAGCGCTATGGCACCTAGCACATACCGCACTTTCAACTTCCTGGCAGTCCATGATCACACATCATGGCCCCTATGATGCATGCAAGGGTGTTCAGCTGATGATCACCGCCCTACTGGGTCAGATCTATGGGGCGCTATCCAAAAACCGGGCAATCCGAACCACCAGCCAGGTCTTCCATCCACTGGGCTTCTTATGGGCAAGGCACTGCGGCATGTATGACAGCGAGCCATACTCAATGGATAACCTGCCCTCGATCGATGCTCCCGCTGCAGAAAAAGAACACCAATGGCGAATCTGGGCTGCGCGGGAGATCCAGCAACGTGCCCTGTTAGCCTACTACGTTCTGGACGGGCTTGTGGGACAAACACCGAGCGATGGTGCCTCTTCTCGCCATGTGGCAAACCCACTTACCCTCCCGAGTAGCGAGGAAGCCTTCGATGCCAATACTGCCGATGAATGGTTGGCTCATATGCTTCCTCAAAAGCCGGATCAGTCCTCATTTAGGTCGATTTTCCGCTCCCTTTTCCCTCCAGTCGGGAGCTTCCGCCCTCTAGAGTACCAGTTCTCCACCTTTGCACTGCGTGTGGTGCTGGAAGGGCTCCATTCTTTGATTTCTGATTTTGATGATAATGAGCTAGCCGTGGGAGTTCCTAGCCAATCAGACGTCCGGCGAGCTCTAGCTCAAGTCCACGAGACAATATCCATGAGTATCCACTTCACTGCGGCGGAAAGACTCGAAATCCTCCTTCGCTGGCACACAGTCTGTCTAGATACAATGATCAACTCGACCGCCCTCTCCCATTACGTCTGCTTGCGCTACAACATTGCCCAACACGTCTCCAGTGGATGCGGGATCATCCGCCCGGGCTTCGATCTAGTCAAATGGGCTAATTCAGAAGATGCCCGACGGGCCGTACTCCACGCGGTAGCCATCCAAGACATTGTCGAACAATTACCACGTGGCCGCGCCCACGTCGTGCATATGCCCAGCTCACTGTTCGCAGCGGCAACAATATACGTCGTCCTTTCACTTGCAGGAGTGGCCACTGTGAACTTGCCTCGAAATATCGTTTGGCAAGACGCTTTGCTATCCCATTCGGATCTCAACCTAGGTCACGAGGATATCCGGCCCGTATCTGGCTCGGAGACAAAGCGCTTTGTCGAGAATGGAAATGGGGCATCCTCACTTCCGCTTCCCATCGGCGGTGCTGTGAGGAATCTGCTTTATGAGCTCAACTCTATGCAAAAGCTTTTCCGGTGTTTGTCTTCACAGTGGGGTATTGCACATGATATGGAGGATATTATTGCGCAATGGATTCAGCTCTGTCATTAGGTGATCCGACTGGGCAAGTTGATACTGCTGATCACATGGAACTTTGGAGTTTTTGTCGTTTTCGGCGTTGATTATGGTGAATGATGGATGATGGATATTTATACAAGAATAGTCGGCCGGTTATGTGACCTTTTGTTTTGTCTTTTTGGTGGTTTTCTTTTTTCATATCTTTTTTTTTTTTTTTTTTTTTGAGATTATGTATAACCAGGGATTCATGATACCCCTCACAATGAACGAATATCCAAGTTGAATAACATCCTTAATGGTGACAAAGACCAATTTCGTTCACATATTCTCCAGTCAATTGAAGATAGTGATCACATTTTGTGTAGAACCGCTTAAATTCCTGCGAATCCCATTGATTCGTCTGCTGTCCTCAACTGTGCTCTATGATACAATCATCGAGTTATCCTCATCTCCATATCTGAAGCCAATTGTCTCGCCAGCCGACACCTACCTCGAGTCCTGTAACACCCGTCATAACTGAAAATACGGCCGAGGTTGTCCTTGACGGAACTATTGGTGTTACAAGTCCAGCTCCTGGCTGAGGTGGGCGATCGCTGTAGATAAGCCAGTGGGAAAACTTCAAATAGTAAATCACCCAAAGCTATAGCAAATGATAATCTATTATAGTTGATTTAGGGTTGTGACCACGTGGTTCACGTGCCCTCTCATGCATGGTTGGCCCGGTGCAGCTGCTTTGCCCTAATTTCTTGCAATATGGGATATCTAGATTATTTAGTACCGCAAGCCGTTGCAAACCATTGCTCAGAGTTTCAAATGAACAAATTCCTGTGCTTATTGTTTAGCCTCATTTCGACTGGCAATGTTGGCTAATGGATCATAGACAAAAGAACTGTACTCGAATTCTGAGATTGTATGTAAGCGTGTTTAGTAAACATAACCAAGATATTCCAACAAGCAAAAACAATATGATTAAGAAACGGCCGAACATTGAATACATCAATTCATGATGATCACGTGCCAGAGCTGAAAACGCGTTGACGCGACGCGACGCGTCACCGACCTCTCCGACCCACTTCCAGTGTCATCTACACCCCTTTCGGCTAGAACCTAGCCACCGACATTCTTAATATCCTTGATCTGTGGGTCCAACTGTTTGATATCCGTTCAAACTGAAGCCAAGTGATCCAACCTGGTAGCAGCGTGGCATCCCAATGCCGAACAAGACCAGATGATCGTCAATCAAACCTAAGACCCCACAACTTGGAGTTGGCTCCAGCGATGCCCCCAATGGATCTTGCATCCGCCCGGGGGACCAAGCTCAGCGATATAGTAATCAATCACCGTCCTAGCACAGGCCGTGGCAAGAGACTTACTATCCCCCAAGAGGGTGTTCTAAGGAGGCTCTATGAACAAGAACTACCCTCACTTTCCAATGGTGAGCTGCCAGCGAGAGGGTTCTGGGAGAATCTCGCGTCACAGTTTCACAAGCGGACCGGTCGAGAATATTCGTGGCTGTCTGTGAAGCGGCGGGCTGCTGGTTGGGGTCAGAAATCCGTAGAAACTGACCGGCGACTGGATACCTCTCGTGCTAGCGAGCTCGAGATTGAGAATTCGGTATCTGAGCCTAGTGATCACGAGATTCCCCATGATCCCCCACCCCAGGAGGGTTCATACAACAGCGAACAACCCACGCTATCACAAACAAAGCCTTCCCCACATTCTCGGTATTCGAACATCCCAGAGTTATCGCAACTTGAAAGAAGCCCTGGTGTCGGCGACTGGTTGCAGCGCAGTTGGGTTTCAGGTCGCCCAGACCCAAGCCAAAACACCAGTGGGAACCTCAGATCTCATCGTCTGTCGAAACCCCGGCCCCGATCAAGATCGCCCCAAGGTGTATCGCAGCCAGGATATCGTCGCCGATCTCCTTCACCAAAGAGACGCACCAAAATTACTTCCAAACGGTTGCAAGACCAGCTGTCGTCTTCCTCCAATGTAATAGCTGCGCCTGGCCCCAACCATTTATCTGGCTATTCCCCAGCCTACGAATATGTGAGGCCGAGCCATCTGGGTAGACGAAATTTCCCCAGATTCAACCATATCCGCGAGACGACGGAGAAAGATGAGCCTGAAAACCCTGAGAATCACCCTCGTGATTCAGAAAGAGCTAAAACTCGAGAAAACTACGTCAGAAACGGCCTTCTTGTGTCGCCGCACTTATCTGACGAAGATGACTTACCGCTGGCCCCAACTCGGATTATGAGAAGGCGTGTTGCAAAATGAATAAGCCTGGAACTGTCCAAAGGAATAACTGAAACAAGATCACGTTGCATATGAATGTTGCTTACGTGTCAGAGGGGTGTGAAGGTCCGGATGAAAAACTGGCGATAGGATGGGTTCCTCCTGTCTACATGTCTGTATGTATGTGGCTGTTCCCCACAAATGAGACAAAGAACACATTCCATCGATTCTACCATGATGAGAATGGAATAATTTGATAAAAATGAGCGAATTAGGATTGAGGAGTAAAATATATTCTACCTATGTCACGCACTTAGATCGGACACATGTATATACAGAAAATAGCACATCATGCGCCAAACTATGAGGCTATGTATTGGGGCATCTTCACTAAACGGATGTCTTGGTTCCATTCTAGATACACTTTTTTATATCCTTCTTTAACTTTTCTGCCTCGTCGTTACGAGATATTGATTTCGGGAAAGCCTGGTTTTGTGTCGGGAATTGCATATCAATCTATGGATCTTGATTGGAATGAATCACTAAACATAAATTGTTTGAGCACAAATTTACGCAGATTATTCGAATTTGGTTGTTTGCTCCATTTGAATAACCCCTACGCGCGGGATGAGAAATCCTATTACTCTGATCTCTTTAAAGGGCTTGATGTCTCCTCCCTCTTACTCCTCTTCTTTCTTCTACTCACGCCACTTTAAAGAATTCTTGTCCTGAGAACGCATTGACCTAAACAAGACCACTCCAAGTTTACATACATCGTATCATACATCTACTACAAACCGACCAAACTGCCCAAAATGGGGAAAGTGAAGTGGGATTCCACCGCAGACCAAACTGTGAGTCCATGTTTCACTTTTCCGTTACTTTTCATTTTGATTCCATTGGCCGGCTCGGCTGGCCTTGAGGTTTGAACTATATCTGGCTGGACCAACCTGCATTGGGGAGCTTCATACTCTCTTGAATGACCATACAAAATGCTTTTGAGAATGAGCTCATCTCAAGCTGCTTGCAAATTCCCATCATTTAATGTTTCGAAAACTTCATTTGTGTTGCACATTTCATTTACTATTCCGGATCTGCTGCAACCTCCCCCTTTCACCCTATATTCATTAATCACGCCTAACGTTGGCTATGACAACTATGACTGACAAGTCTCATCTGATATAGCTCCTTGCCAAGATCTTGGAGACTCATGACCTGAGTGTCGATGCGGCTCGTGTTTCCGAGGCCTGGCGTAAGTTCTCCGCTTCACAGACGCTCCCAAGTTTTGATCACGGAAAATAGTTGTTCTAACAACCCCCTTAGCTGCTCAAGAGAACGACCAGAAGCCAACCCCTCGTGCAATCAAGGAACGACTTTCCCGAATCAAGGAGAATGTTCGACTTGGAAACGCCGCTGGATCCGGACCCTCAAGCCCAGTGACCCCAAAGAAGCGCACCCCTCGCAAGAAGGCAAATGAGACCACCGCTTCTGCTGGCCCTTCCCGCAAGCGCAAGCGTGTCACCAAGGATGCCGTGGCCGACGATGAAGAAGAAGAAGCCAATGCCAAGGAAGAAGAAGATCTCCCTTTGGATGAGAAGGAGCCTCTCGCTGAATCCGCTATCAAAAAGGAAATCGGTCTTGACGTTATCGATCCTCTTCTGCACCCGCAAGTCAAGGATAAATCTCCTAATGCCGACCACGGAAATGATGACTCTGAATGGACTGAGTACAAGGATGAGGACGCTGATTCGGACGCTGACCAGCTGTCTAAGTAACTCAATGGTCATTCAGAAAGGGCATCCATGTCAGTCGCCTGAAGTCTCGGTGCTTTGAGTTCCTACTATCAATACTCAACTTCGCTTTTTAATTCTTGTTGGGTCTCAGTGTTGGGTGCTTTCTTGATCCCCAACCATGAGAGTGACCCTATCGTTCAGAGAAAACGAAAAAGCCCTAAAAAAATATCGATGCACAATTGCTTTTGTTTCCACCGTGAGGTGATGGGAAAAATAAAAAGAATAAAAAAAATGCCGGTGCCCATTTGTTTGGATTGCACCGAGGTACTTAGTTCAATTGACAAGCGACTCCCATGTCGTCTATGTTTTATTCCATTTTTGCCATACGAAGGTAAAAAGAACATTCTGGGGATCAGTAACGGTCTTTTATTTCGAGCAAAGAGACTCGGCTAGTCGAGTTCATTGCCATTAGTCATAGATCCATCTGATAATAACCACTTGTAAATGGTTTGATTGCATGTCTCAATATTCCTCGCTGTTGTGAGATTTTGAAAGCTTCTCCAGATAAAACTGGATACCATCAGCACCTTGACACCTTCACCATGTCGACACAGTGCGGTTTCATTGGGAAAAGCAGAAGAGCGCGGCGATGGCGCTTAGATGTCAGAATCTTCCTCCTCCTTGATGGATTCGGAGCTAGGGAAATAACTGGGTTAATTAAATTAGCATTGTAGACTTCCATAGGTATCCTCACAATTGGCAAGCACTTACTCCTCGGTTTCCTCGTGCTTGATCTTGGGCTTCTTGGCCTTCGCATCCTCAGCCTGGTTTTCCTCGTCCTTGGTAGCTCCGCCCTCTCCGCCAGACTCGGCAGTAGCAGTGGTCTGGGCAGACTTCTTCGGAGTACGGCGCTGACGCTTCTTCACAACGGGCGAAAGAGAAGGGCTAGCATTATCATCCTCCTCACCCTTAGCCCGAAGGCGAGCGACCCGGTGGCGGAGAGCAGAGACGGTGACTCCTATAGAATTGGTTGAGCATCGTGATTGTATCAGTTTGGGAAATAGGGGGAACAGTGATGAGAGATTGGAATAGGCTTTCAGGTCAAATGGTGCACGTCAGAGGTCATGCAAAACAAAAAGGGAGAACATAGTTCAGATGTATACAGATGAACTGCACAAGATGAAGGATAGAAGCTATTGTCCAGGGTTCGGTGTTAAAGTTGAGTATGGGATCTGGTGGTTCTCCGCGTAGCACTAACCGTCGCCCATGTACTCGGCGAGAGCATTGAAATCGATGGGAGTGGAGCTGGTAGCAAGTATGCCAGCCAGCAACTAAAACGAATGATGGTTAGTCATTGAAACAAGATCACGGTCGTAGAATATGCGGGCGAATCTCGCAAAAGAAAGAAATGTCAAACAGCATTGGAGGGAGGGATGATATATCCGTACTAGGTCCCCCACGCGGGACCACGAGACCAATCTGATCCGATTATTCACAATCAGATCTTCATCCCGCGCGGGGTACGCAGTGATTTGATCACGCGCGTAGCGCGCGTAACGTCTGCGCCAAAACACAGGCCGGAGTAATTAAGTGACTTTATGGCCCAGCACAATCATAGGTGGTGTGATTGACATACAGGTCCACCGTTGCATACATGTAGTTGAGCAAAGCGGATGGTGGATAATGAGGGGCAAGATCTGAGTCCCTATTCCACGGTGACTTCAAGGGATGTAATTTGAGGGTTGTGAGTCCTGTCAATCTGAAGAGGCGCTGTGCTACCTAGGATATCAAGGATGGGCAATGGCAGACGGATGCAGAGGCGGATGCAGAGACAGATGGAAGTATAAACGAACCTTGGCATCGGCCTTCTCGTTCCAGGTGATCGTCATTGTTGGTTTGGTGATCAGCAAGCTGGAATAAACGATATCAGTATCGCTGTAGACCAAAGTAACGAGTAGACTGAGAACAGGAACAAATGGCACGCTCAACTTAAGTATATCCTGCTCGTAGAGAGTGAATTGGAGATGAACGCACCTGTTGGTTCGGTATGTGTATTTAGATGTAGCAACGAATAAGTTAAGTGGTATTGGGTGAGAGAAGAAGAAGAAGAAGAAGAAGAAGAAGAAGAAGAAGAAGAAGAAGAAGAAGAAGAAGAAGAACTGATCAAGGTAAACCAGATTAAAATAAGCGAACGGACGATCTCCAAATTTTGATGGTCGCTGCAAGATGTGCAAATAAACTTACTGCTCGCTTACTTTCCACAATCGTCGATATAAAATTATATAGGTTAACCCGGGTCAGGGCTATGCCTACGTTTTATTACATAAATAGGAATGTATCTTGAGTACATATTCTATATCCCAAAAGACACAGTAACCTATAGAGAAGGAGGTTTCTACATAGAGATTATCTATATAGATAGGGGTGTCTATAGAGATACGTATCGTCTATATAGACGGGGGTATAGCGGACATGTGTGAGATAGTATAAACAAATACCCAACAAACCCCTTTGAGGAACAACCACGAGCGACTAATGGGATCACTGGTACATCACTCTCTCATTGGACTATATTGCCAGGCAGTAGTTTATATCAACTCTCACTTTCCAAGTATCCATGGATGTACGTTGTTCAAAGTATAATAATGTGTAGCCTTTTTACCTCCCCAATTGTATCAACCTACCTGCTATATGTATATTCTCGAAGTGTATTTAATTGATCATTCATAAGAGCATCAATTGATACTTTACAACATAGTAACTTTGTGGTGTTAAACCAGTTTCCTTTTGTTAAAAGTACAAAATCATCCAAAAAGCCAGATAGCTTATACTGTTCAACGAAACCTAACTATATTTATTATAAAGCACCCTCCGTAAAAAGCCTAAGAAGCATACATTGTTTTAGGGCGGCCGAAAAATAAAAACACCTGAATTAATATCATGCATAACACCAAAGTACCTGGCTTCTGCTGGCGTTGTAGGTATGTGGGGAATATGGAGCTTATCTAGCCCCTACATAATAAATACTATGTCAATGTCAGCCGAAACTCCCTGAAGAACCGCCTCCAGAAGTGGTCATGTATACATTTGTATAGTATGGATAGCTTCATTCTACCTTAGGGGTAGACAGTGATGGAATAAGAGTACATTGTTTCTTAAGACCTCTGTCATAGTAGTTCAGGTATCTCTATTTTTCTGCCGGGCATCGATTCCTATGTAAATCGGACATTTGACCACTAAGAATGGAGTTTGAAGCTCTTGCGCGGGAATCACTCTTCAATCTTCAACTAATATAATGTCTTGGATTCATAGGCAAAGACCTATTTGCTCTAGGCAGATCTGCGCTTCGATCGAAAACAAAGTGCTTGACTCATCTTTTACTTTTAAGTTGCGTATGGTGTGGCGATTCGGGGCATACCCAGTTTATTCCATACTGAGACGGCTTAGGAGAGCTACTGCAACTACAGGAATCTATATTGTTCTCAGAAACTAGTATTCATAAGCTGCTGTCCTTGAAATCGAGAATAGCGCGTAGATAGCAACCTTGGAAGGTACCCGAGAGACCTAGACTAACGGCCAAACGATCTCACCCCTCATTATGCCGCAGAAACACCACCATAAATGTCGGGATCATAGTCATTTTCTCCCAACCGATGTCGTCTAAAAACAGGAAGCTCTTAGAGCTTGCGTTGCTTAGTAGGACTGGAGGCGGATTCATCCCCATGCTCATCCTGGCTCTCCACAACGGTGTCCTTTTCAGACTGGGTGCCCGATGCAGTCTTGCGCTTGGTAGTGGTTTTGGTAGACTTGCGGCTACGGCCAGTGGGTTTGTCGGCATTGTCCTTGGTAGGAGATTTCGTAAAGGTTCCCTCGTGGCGGGCTTTCAGAGTGTAAAGATGCTGCTTCACAGCTGCAGTGCTGTTGCCTATCCCTTTTCAGTAAAGTTCGTTTAATGGTTAGGTAGGATGGAGGGGCCCATTTGGGGGGGGGGATAGAAGTTAGGAAGTATTGATGTGATAGCTTCGGCATAAAGCCCTTGTACTCACCCTGTCCCATCGCTTTAGCAATCGAGGAGAAGTTCAGCGGGGAATGGACGGCCAGGATGGCCACAAGCAACTACCAATCATCAGTCATTGAAACCAAGACCATGGCAGTATGAGGAACAAAGGGTCAATTAAGGTGAGAACAACCCAGGAACTAGCATCCTAGTTGCTACTGTCCCCGTAAAATGAGAAAACTTACCTGCTTGTCTCTCTCGTGACTCCAGGTACTAGCCATTTTGATAACGAAATGTTGGTGTGTTGAAGAGGGTTGATTTGGAGGCGCGATGATGACGGTGAGGAAGGAGAGAGGAAATGGCAGAACGTCGAAAGTCATCATCTCATGTTGTTTGTGGATTTGATCCACGCGCGCACCAATAGCCATGCTACTAGGTACTTTTCTGTCCTGGCGTGGTAGCACGTAGTTGGTATGATGTTCTAATTTTCTGTCCGTCGTTCTACACGCAAATTCAGAGTCCCCTAATACCTGAGTTTGTGTGATTGTTGTAGCCGTAATGAGTTTAGGACAGAAATTTGTGGTAGGTAAACTGAATGTTCTTTGGCACAAAACGCAGTTGAAGTAACAAATTATCGACCTGGGAATCTATACTGAAACCAAACAGCGAAAAAGATAAACATGTTCATAGAAGCCGCTCAAAAGATGAAATCATATACCGAGTCTCAGTTTACCATAATAATGAACATGAACAACAATCAATGCCTACAACTGTCCAGCAGAAGGCGGTGTCGACGTCCACGGCCCACTAACAAAGTGCGCCTCCGAGCGTCTCCCTATCTCCCCCGGTGAGCTTTTGACAGGCTCAGAGTAATGGCTCGGCTGCTGGTGAGGAACTTGATGAGCAAGTGCTGTCTCAGGGAAGCCCGTCGGCCCACCGCTAGGACCAAATCGATGTTGGTTCTGCGAAATGTATTGGTTGAAATTCACTTGAGCCATTGGGTTTTGATATTGCTGATGGCCCTGGGCAAGATTTGCTTGGTGTGATCCTGGCTGTTTCCGTATCATGTGCTGCTGTTGATATTGACTCTGTACATGTTGCAGCGGTGAGAATCCCTGAAGAGCAGGGTCTGCGGGGGGGATGTTGCGAATGGAAACGTGGGTCCGACTGGCCTTGCCCGAATCTACCTTGGTCGACCACGGAGTGCGGTAAATTGTTAGAGGAGCTCTCCGCAGAAGTGTGGTAGGGCTGCCCTTCCCGGACAACAGAAGCATTCGAGGTACGGCGAGCAAATTCTCCTGAAGACGGTTCCACATGCTGGTTAGATGAGTAAGACCCAAAGAAGGGCTTAGACATGGGTGATGGGCGTAAATTCATCGGGACACCCTCACCAGAGGCATTTGAATGGCCTTGTTGTGATTCCAATTTCCACTGCGGCTGGGAATCGGAAGCCTCATCCATTGACCTTCCCATTTGCTTCTGTGAGTTGCTGCTTATTGTCCACGATGCTGGTGGCTGGTGGCCATGCAATCCAGCAGGATCAGCAGAAAATCCCTGAAAGGATTGTGTATGTTGCGTCATGTTATAACCGTTTGGATGTCCCTGGTAAGTACCTGGATTATTACCCCACACTGATGAAATACTTTGGCCCATATGGTGTGGACCTGTGATTTGATAACCTGGGTGTGCCTGGCTCCCATAAAATGCCGGCTGAACACCATTCATCTGCCCAACATGGCCCTGCTGCAACGAATTCCGTAAATAAATAAGCATCACAACCAATCAGTATATCGGAGACTAGAACATTCAAACATACCAGGCCATATCCGGCTGCGTTTGCAGCCAGCTGCTGCTCATATCCGCCGGGCAAGTGTGGACTCGTTTGATTCGAATACCAACCCGGTACCCCGGAAGACCCATAAGTTGGATTGTCCGACCGCCCATATAACTGGGAACCAAGGGAGCTCTATCCCATTATCAGTGCCATTCTTGCAATGCTTACGCAGACATAATGAGCGCGATTCCCTACGGAAATTCTCGCACTGTCCGCCGCAGAGTACGTCCCGCCTGCCATTGTGTCCGTTGACTCCACGCCTCGAGTGCTGCCGTTTGTCAGATGCGATGTCGGCTCCCGTGATGGGCCTGCCCCGATCGGAATCGGTGTCGTCGATGGGGTCAGGACGATCGGCTCGGTTGGAATCTCCCATTGTGACTTCCCGGTCGTCCGCTGTACGTAATACCATTTCCGTCCGACGCCTTCCCATTGAGGTAGCCTACCAGATATTACTGTCAGAATACAGTAGGTTCTTTGGTCTTCGGGGTTGACTTACCAGCCTTCCGGAAGTTGAGGTGGTGGGGAGGATGGGCCTGCAGTGTCTGCAGGGGCCTCAGGCGCCATCTCGGACCTAACACGATCCAGCCGACGTCAAAATGTCAAAAGAAAAAGTACAAGACATCCAAACTCTGGATCTGAACGGATTAAATGTAAATATACATGGAAAAGAGGGGAGGAATAAACAGAGGTGAGGTTCAACGAGACTCGCCGATAAGAGGATCTTGTGGGGCTTGGCCTTTGATCGCCGTGCACGGACCCCAATACCCCCAGTCAACACCGCCAACTGCTATGTTGTGATGCACCTATGATATGAATTAAGAAAGCCGACAGAAACGTGGTAAATATGTGGACCAAAACAGATTGGTGACCACAATGACTAGCCTAAGGACTCTATTGAATGACTATCTACTTTCGTCCGTCAATAGCCCCAGCAAAATCTTTCAAAAATCCCCAAGTCCCCTTCGCCTTGTGTCCCTCCACGTCCCACTCAGTAATGCTCTGAGGGAAGAAAGGAAGGCCATCCGGGATACTTGCGTCATGTGCAATGATAACCATGGCCTTGGGTGAGCCATCGAACAGTAGCATTTTGTCAAGAGCGACCTCAGCATCTCCCAGATCCTCGTTCGTTGCAACGTTCAGCTCGTATAACGGGGTAACTTTGGCATCTAAGAGCCTGAGATTTGCAGAGGATATGATTTCGAAGATATAGCTAGGACACGCAGAGACTGATATGGCACTATTGTTGGGTGACAATGGCCTGATCTCGGTCGGAAGTGGGAGTTGCTCAGTTAGACGGTACTCCCCGGGGTGATGTGCGATATCGCCCCTAAGGAAGATGAAGCGGTTCTGCTAGGTATGGGTCAGAGCGCTGATGTGGTTTTGCGCTATGCTAGAAACTTATTAGCAATCTATCACCTAGGAATGGATTATCAAATATTGTCGGCACGGAATGTAGATACTCACTCTTAGTATACGTACTAGGTTATAACATGCTATATAAGTGAACAGCTCGTACACTACAGATAGAGAGATTTATTACTAGTTGGGGGAAGCTTCTTTGAATCCTTTCTTGGCCCAATGTCAAACAGAACCTTTTTGTACAATCTCTTGTTCTCAAGTAGGGGCTGTAGATTATTGTTCGCAGCGGAACCTGTGAGATATCAAATCATACCGTATCCGAAGAGGAAAGACGCTTGGGTATTAGAAATTTTCGATTACAATAAGTGCATTGATTAGAAAGAAGTAGGTAGTTTGATGAAAGAATGTATGTGTAGATCTAGGTATAGTTTCGGGTCTAGAAGAAGAACTATGCACACCTCCACTAACCACTTCAGGTGTATCCACCGCACGCGCAGTTCTCAAATATAGGCTGTGTAATTTAGCAAGGTATCTCTATAGTATTTTTAATTGTCACACCTGGTTTTGCGGATATGACTTCATCTACAGGTGCGTGGGGCTGTATGTGCGGGGTGGAGACAGACTTCAACCATGGAAGCTTGACGATTGACCCACACATGATCCACCCCCTTGGGTACATAGGTATTGCCATAGGGTATGGTAGTCTACATTGTCTTGAAACAAGATATGCATGTTAGTTCTTTCTAGCAGAAACTCGCAGATGGAGCTTTCCTTACCTTGAGATCGTATTCAAGAGCATTCAGATCCAGGGGTGGCTTATGTACGATCGCTGGTATGTGTTGCAGATGATCCAGATAGGAAATGAAAGAGTAACGCCGCTATATGTAATTATATTTATTTTAAATGTGCTATCATACCTAAGTGCGTGATTTAGTAACAGAGGGTGCTTCGCTATGCAAATAAGATACACGTTAAAATCATAAAACCTTAAGATTAATTGTAGGACAATATCGAATAGTAGCTCCTGTTTATCCCCTCCCAGGTGAATAAGAACCCCAACGCCAGGTCCTAGAAACATATCGGCATAAAAAGAAAAAGAAGATATCCGTCCAGGCGCATCATAGAGCAACAATAGACGACATGGTTATAGATACAAAAAAGGATACTGCTATTGGGAAATCGCCATAGCATATTACCACAAATGCCCTAGGACTGGCTAGAAGTCATCGCCGGCCCAATCCTCGTCGCCACTGAGCTCATCGTCAAGGAAATCATTTTCGTTGAATTGCAATTCAGTCGGTCGCTGGTTGTCGATCCGAATGTTCACAATATCGCACATTCCCTGTATATTCCCAGCCTCGGGTTGCGGAGTCCCCACTAACGAAGAACCACCACCGGCATCGTCGGTCTCGTTGGATTTTTGATGCGCCAGTCGAGTGCTTTGGCGTTTGGAGGAATTCGATGGTCCACTGTCAGCCGTGGATGGTCGGGAATCATCAATTCCCGCACCAAGTCCACCTGGGTCATTCCTTGTGGTGAATGTGGTTGGCTTGAGGGGGCGCTTCTTGAGGGAGCGGAGGTTGGGATCTGGTGGCACGCTTCGTCGGAGGAAAACCTTTTCGAGCAGGCCAATCCATCGCTCACGAAAGGTGGCACGGTCACGCCAGCCAATCTTCAGGATTGCACTGATGACCAATCGACGTAGATCACGAAGTTGCGGAGCTGCATTCACCAACGAAGTGAAAAATACTTCTGCAGTAGCGTCATCCCATTTGCGTAACTGGGTGAGCTCGATTTCTTGGAGCTTCGCTGGCCACGTCGGAACTTCGGTTTTAACAAGTAGATCTTCAAAGTGTGGCTCAACGTCGTGGTAACTGGACGCATCATGCATAGAAAGGTCCATTTTGAAAACTTCGAGATTCTCACAGCACTGACCCAAGGTCTGGATGAAAGACATGTTGAGATGGCGATTGTGGCTTAGACTCAGCTCTCGGAGATTGCTGCCGTGTAAGGACATGTAGGCTGTGAGGTCTAATGACCACAATCGATCGCAGTTGTTCAGGGTGAGCGAACGGAGGGTATTTGGTAAACTCGCCAGAATTTCCCCGCTGACCAATGAGCTTTCAATAATATCCAGTCGCTGAAGCTCTGGAAGCATATGAACGGCTTCAAGGAGGCCAGCTTCTTTGGCAGCGGACGTTTCTTCATCGGAATTATCAAAGTGGAGCAACTTCAGTTCCCTGAGACCTTGAAAGGCGCGCTGCGAGTGCATTTCCACCATCAATTCGACAAGCTCATCGGTTTCTAGGAAGCGGCTGTTCCAGTCCCAGCTACGAAGGGTAATACCACGGTTCTCAATGGCGGAAAAAATAGATTCAAGATAAGTCCACTTTGATTGAACAATGTGCCATGGAGGTATTCCCACCGTGTAATCATCTTTGTGATACAGTCGTACCGACTGTAAACGAGGAGTCTTTTCAATCAACTGAGCAAGGTCGAAGTAACCATAGGGTCCACTTTTGTAAATGAGCACTGGCTCAACCTCAACATGAAGATGCTTGATCTTGCTAGAGTAGTTCATCGAGAGGGACTCTTGTGGGCGTGCCAACAAAGAGAGGAGCACATGGCTCTTGTAGGCAGGAAGAAGAGGGGGGCAGTGATAGAGTGCGGCGAGCGCAGGCTCGTGAAAGCTTCGACACAGGAGAGCGACATTGACTAGCCACTTGACAGAGTCGTTGCGGGCTGAACGGCTTTCGTCGAGTAATGGATGCGACGCGCGCAAGAAAATGTCAAGAAGAATTTGGTAGGGAAGAGTTTGCCAAGGAGGAATGACACCGGATCCTAGGAAGACCGGGTCATCCCCATCTGTTTTGGCACGTTTGTACAAAACTCTTCCAGCTTGGCTGCTGGGTTTCGATCGCTTAGTCTGCTTTGGCTTCGGTGTGGTTACAGCGCGCCGAGGACGTTGGGTTTTGGAAGGGCGAGGAGTCGCAGATTCGGCTTCAGGAGTCGGTGCGTCGATCGGCGCAGTTACCAATTCATCAGACTCATGGTCTTCCACGGCTCCATCAAAGCTGGCATCGGTCGAATCTTCACGATAGGATTTCGGCATTCGAGTTGTACTGCGCGACCGAAGAGATAATGAAGCACGCCTTGAGCCACGCAAATTTGTTGATTCATCTTGAGAGGAGCTTTCCTCATGGTAGGTCTGCACCTTTGTGCGGCTGGACCGCATAGGGCGAGTGGACCTTGAGCGCGAACTCGAGGGCGCCATGACGGATAAGGTCGCGCTAGGATAAGAGAGTGGGTAGCAGAGACTTGGGCCACATTGTACGCACAACGTCGCGCACGCAACAATGTGGGCAGCAAATCAGTGTCAGTATGCTTGTGAAGACGGCAACTCTGCAATTATTGTCGTTCCAATTCACTCTTGCGACGGTCCGGGTGAGTCCGGTTTCTTTGACGGATGAGGTCGAAGAGGCCAAGAATGCCAAGACGACAAGCTTATCGATAACACTTGGGAGATGCCTTGGTGCTAAGCCAAATACGGTTAGCTCACACGTGATAGCGAGGCAGGAACCCCGCCCTCAGGCTACGACACTAGTCCTCATTGAGGAGCACTAGATGGCCCCAAAATAGATTCTCAGCTTGAGCTTTAAAGATGGGCGCTTCCAGCCACCTCGAGGGGAAACCTCCTGGAACCCTACACCATCGGCGCATTGCTTGTCAGAATCTGTTTTCCTTCCATTTTTCTTTGTATTCAGACACCGAACAGATTGTGTTGAAGATAGCCTACATCTATGCCGCAGCTGCTGATTTGACGATAATGACGACTTGCCTATGCGACCTAAAATCCGCATGATTGTTTGTCTGCATCGCATCCCTAGCCCTATTCTACAATTAAATATAGAGGTCCGTCACTCAGAACCGCCAAGTTTCAGATGGAAACATCATTTCCTGTTATGATGGACTCCACCGATCGCTCAAACCGTGGTGAGCTCAGCGGACCGCAAATGGTCATTCAACAATATGCGCGATATCCTCCGACCTTGGAATCGACGTTGCAGAGTGCTTCCTCCTTGGGAAGTGCTCGTAGCCAAATAGATATCAACAAATCGCCTCCCTTGCAGCGAAGAGAAACCCCCAGGAGCTTACAGTCTTCCCCGAGGGGCATACGTTCTGCTATACCCTCATCATCAGCCAACCGCTCCGGGACTTCTATGTCTCCCCCGGTTTTTGATCCTCATCGCCATCAGCCGATGAAAGATCCTGCCGATCACGCAGATTCCCGGGTTCTTCCATCACGGGATATCACTGACGAGACGATTGATGATGCATATGTCTCCTTTATCTTGTACTGCAATCCTAATGTTCCATCCTCGGTTGACACCTCAGATCTGCGAAAGACTTTCCGCTGTCTCCCTCGGAGTGATGGGAAAAGCTTCAATATCTTTACCCTATTCGGACTCATTCGAAAGCGGCTGCAGAATGAAGAACTGAAGACATGGATTCAACTAGCAATTGAATTGGGGGTCGAACCACCCTGCATTGAAAAGAAACAAAGCACGCAAAAGGTGCAACAGTACACTGTTCGACTTAAGGTACGTCTACCATGAAGCTTCCGATCCATATTTCGTCTTTCTAATCTCACCCAGCGTTGGATGCGCGCGATGCATATTGATGCTTTCTTTGAATATTGCATGGGGTTACCCCATTCTTACTATACACAACTCCCACCATCTGGTCCTTTTGTCAGCGAATCCCGCGATGGTGTGTTATTGGAAGAAGATCTCGCACTCAGGGCGCTTGTGCCACAATGGAAGCCAAAGCGGGGAAGGAAAAGGGTTGAGGATAGGTATACTGAGGAAGAAAAACCAATCAAGCGGCCCCAGTTGGATACATCTGTTGGCGCCCTACAACAGGGTAGTTTTCAGTCCCACTCTGTGACATTCCCACAGAGTGCTATTCCATTCAGTGCATTTCCTGATGATATGGAACCACATGACCCCTGGATAGCCGCGAATTCGTCGTTTCATAATGGTTCCGGGCCGGATCAGCAAAATCAAGATCCACGCTGGAGACTTCCTGAACGGGATGCATCTCCTGCTAATTATCCACAGTCTGCTATCATTCCCCGGAGTCATCTACCATCGGATGTCCTCATTTCTGCGGAACCACGGTCAGCAGTTACTCCGTCAACTGGTGAGAAAAGCCGTTCTAGGAGACGACATGGCCCTGCAGTTTCATCTGCTTGGCCGAACAGCAACGGCTTGTCGGCTGGGAAAGGCCGAGGAAGACCACCAAATAGAGGGTCATCATCGGGTTCCTTTTCTACCTTCCAGGTCAATCCTAGTCGGGAATCATCACAGGCACCAAATCACAATACCCAAGCACTCCCACTTCCCATTGACAGAAATCCGCCCCAAATATTTCAGACTCCACCTCACAATCAGCCTCCAACATCTATCTCTCAGGGGAGGCCCAATAAACTTCAATTGCAGGTTCCTCAACATTCAGGAGCGCCGGTTCGACTTGCCACTCCACCAAGACTAGTACTTAATGGTGTGAATGGTGCTGTCATTCCCGGGTCAGAAGGGCCCAATGATTCCCGCCAACATCCCACCACAGATACTCCAAAGAATGGTATCACTACTGAAACATCCTCCTCTAGCGGGCAAAGCAATACGGCCACTGCCCCGAATCCCTCCGTCGATGAAATTGTTCATTCCCTTTCTGCAGAGCTTCTGCGTGCTAGGCTAACAGGGCGGGCGGTGACCCTTGCCCCCAACGAGGCGGATGCCCTGGCCTCGGCGATGGTGATCAATTTGTCTTCGTTATATTCACAGTTCCAACTTGGCTCTCCCTCGCTGCTACTGGCCTTCCATCTTGGCATTGGTCATCATTTCGGACTCGCAGGCACTGCTCCAGAGTCAATGGTTATCAAGGTTGAACGTGCTATTCCACGCAACGATGGAAATAGGGGTGCCCCTGCCTCTAACGAATCATTTAACGGGGTTCGGTATACCGTCTCTCATGAGTACAAAGCTTCAAGCCAGTTTTCGATGCAAATCACGCTTTCAAATGTGAATCCTAATATAGGGGGGATGGGTACATCTGACCACGCAAGCGCGATTATGGGTCGGAGTCATGAGAATATTGACAATGATAAGACAGTGGAGCTGGATTCTGACGATGATGATCCCAGCCAGCCTGTTTCCGAGGCAACATGGAAGCAGCGTTACACAAGGCTCCGCGCCCAGATGCAGAAAAAGGACCAGGCCTTGTCGCAATACAAACGAAAGATAGTGGAGTCGGTCATGGCAGACATATAACGCTTGTGAACCGGCTATCTCTTAGATTTATATCAAGATCTTAGGATCACGTTTTTGCCCACTCTTGATCTGCACTTTGCAGCCATTGTTCGTGTATATTCGATAGGATACCCCTTTGATAAAATCAATCCTACTGTTTGCTTTCACTTTATGAATGAAATTCATTGTCCCTGCCCCTACTTTGGGGCATAGTTGAGATTATTTTGCACAATACCTCATGGGAAATATATGGTGTATCAGGCACTAGAGATGGGAATTTTGGATATGCTACTCTGACCATTTTCAACTTCGTATCCCTACTGTCCTCCTAAAGAAATACAAAAAACCTCAATGTTTTCTTGAGAAGTACGCTAAGCAGAGGCTTTTGGCACTCTGCTTAGTGAGGTTACTCTAGCCAAATGTCACCCCTTATAGTACCTGAGCACCAAAAAGAAACTTCTCGTGTCAAAGCTGTAGGCAAAATGAGTTATGCTACCTCAGGGAGAGGCCGGCATCTTTTAGCTCAGGGCGGGTCAAGATAAACGCGGTTAATGGTATAACAAGGCAACTAACAATCCTTGTCTACATCGCTCTTCTTACATCCCAGCTATCCAACTTCTACCATCGCATCCTTCACTGCATCAAATTTCGCATTCCAGATCAGTTTCACCATCGTGCAAGAATGACTTCCGTCAATACGCCCGAGGAGCAGGCCATCGCCTTCCTTCTAACCTGCGTGGAAAATTCTCAGAAGGGCAAGGTACGCAGTCCCCGATTTCAACAATAATCCCTACCATCCAATATCACCTGCTAATGTTACTGGCTATTACAGATCAATTGGGACAACGTCTCGCTCGATATCGGCGTCAACATGACCCCCTGTTGGAAGGTCACGTGACCACCACTGTTTGCTCCCAGTACATTAGTCTTAGCATCTGTAGATAGCTTCTTCTCTTTCTCTCTCTCTAGCGCAATACAGTGATTTTACCAGCGTACTTACTAGTCCCTGGCCTTCTCTGTAACAGGTTATGAGCACCTTGCCGTTGAAGCCCCTACATAACTGTATGCTTCACGCCTCATCTTTCCTCCAATCCTCGGTGCTTTGCGTCGCACCACCCCACTGTGGGACCTCGATCAGAGTTTTCACTGGTCGAATTCCTCGACCACCCCACCCACTGGCCGTTTGACCCCGTCGACCGCTACCCCTCATTGGCCGTTCGACCCTGTCGACCGCCGTCTCTCATTGGCCGTTCGATCTCGTCGACCGCCGTTCCACCAATCACATACCAAAGCACCCCGGTGTAGAAGAAGACCTTCATCATGACGGAGTCCTATAACATTGAGGACTTCGAGGTCAGTCGACATGAGATTGACTGTGCGGATTCAGTCCCAAAACTGAAGGGACAATCCAACTTCCGGGACTGGGAAACAGCACTTTTCCTAGCTCTCACAGCTAACAACCGATACTACGTTCGGATGCTTTCCCATGGAATTCCTATTCCATCACCTCCTGAGTACGCTAACACCTCACGGGAGGAAGTTAAGCAACTTTTGCTTAGTGACGCGCAGGATGTGATAACTGAACAGGACATCATCATCACTCCCAGTCAAATTCGTACACGTACGAAGGAGCTTGAAGATGGCAACCTAGCACTTCGAAAGAAGTATGACATGCAGTGTAACAACTGGCAATCCTGTAACACCAGAGCCCTTATTTATGTTCGAAAGACCCTCTCGGTTGAACCTCTGTCAATTGTCTCGCAGGTCATAGATGTACGTGAAGCTTTTAAGAAGCTTCGAAAGATATACGCTACCTCGTCACACTAACAAGCATATACCTACTTCACGAAGTGGGTTGATTAACGTTATAAAAATGGGTCTCTATCTGACTTTGTTCGGAGATTTTAAGAGGGACTCCGTGACGTCTTATCAATGAGTGGATCTCCTACACTAATGCTTGAACTATGTCAGTTTAAGAAATCTATTGCGGAGAATACTCGGTGTTACGCCTTTCTTCAAAACCTTAGGGTTAATGAGAAAGAACCCAATTTTATGGATAAGGTTTACGTCGAATTTATTGAGACAGAGACTAACAACCGTTCATTTAATAACACTTTATTTCACTCCTCAGCAAACACTACCTCCTCGTCGTCCAATAAGGACAATTCCAACTTCAATAACAAGAAGAAGGACGATAAGAAGGGAGGTGGTGATAATGATAAGTCTAATTCCTATCTAAAGGGTAAAGATGATAAGGACAAAAAGCAAAAGAAGAAGCCCTTCGAATATGAAGAGAATGTTATCTATTGCAAGTTCTATAATGCTCTGGGTAATTATTACTCGAGGAACTGTTTATTAAAGAACAATGCTAGCTCTGCTAATGTAATTATGTAACCTCCTTAACAACAAGCATAGTAGGTGACTGTCCTATAACCCGGCCAGATCATCGGTTAGGTTGACAACTAAGGACGGATTATCCCGGTTTATTAACAACCTCGTACTGCTAATGTAGTGTATGCTCCGGCATCGTACCTACTACCTTAGTAAGGACCTCCTTCTGGCGATCCAGTTGCTAAGTATAATATATTGTTTACCAATGTATTGTTTTAAGAATATGGGGTATATATAGTCTCTACCGAGGTACTTTATATTAGTGACGACGACGTCTCTCGATGGATGGTCGATTTAGGCACTAGCACCTATATGACTCTATACAAATCTGTCTTTATTAATTTCCGTTAATGTGTATTACCTGTATCGATAGCGACAGGTGATGTTTTCTATACAGAAGGATATAGAGATGTTATTCTTCGAATGATAAATGAACAATCAGATGATCTCATTGGCTCGCTTACCCTTTATAAGGTATGGCTTGCTCTAGATCTCAAAGCTAGCTTGATCTCAATGTCCGCTCTCGACAAAGAAGATATTGGTATATGGGTTAAGAACGGCCTAATGACGTTCAAGTTATAGGATCAATATGCGTCCTTAGAATCAGTTGTCGGTTTTGCTACCTGCGAAGGAGAGCACTACTGGCTAAACTGCTCTGGTATTAATAAGGTTGATGCTATGCTAGATTGCAATCTGGTCTCGGGTTTCCCTAATTCCGTCTTTGCTATAAAGAAAGGTTCTTCTCCTACGCCTATCTCAGTTGATCTAGCTTACCGTCGAGCTTGTTACGCTGGCGAGAATAGGGTACGGAAGATGGAAGTTTATAGTGATGGAATCAAATTAAAGAAAGGTGCCGGTGTTACCTTTCCATACATACTATGTATTAAAGGTAAGGGTTATGTCCTCCCCTTCGGCAAAGAGAGATCGATTAGATTAAAACCTGGTGATCTTATTCATCTTGACGTATGGGGACTAATTTCAATTGCTTCGCACGGTGGAGAGAGATATTTTATTACCTTCACTGACGATGCTAGCCGGTTTATATGGCTATTTCTTCTTCAATCTAGATCGTAGGTTACTGAAACCTACATTCAACTGGAGAATTATTCAAAAACCCAGTTTGGGTTCACGATTAAGAAGGTGTATGGTGACGATGTAACAGAGTATAAGCCACTAGCTACCTATCTTGCTTCGAAGGGTATAATTTGGGACCCTACCCCTCCCTATACTAAGCAACTGAATGGTGTCGCTGAGATCAAAAATCGTCACCTAGTTGAACCCCTTGTTGCGGTTATAACGGAGTACTAACTCCCGAAATACCTTTGGGGTTATTTACTTGGTGGAATCAACTATACGATGAATTGTTTATACGCTTTAAAAATCGAGATGTTACTTTACGAAGCTCTGTATGGCAGGAAACCTAACCTATCTAACCTTCGTACTCTCGGTTGTCAATGTTGGTTCTTGATTCCAAAGGAAAAGCGTCCTACAAAGCTTGATCTACATATGGAAGAAGCTAGGTTGATCGCTTACGATGAAGGTGACAACTATATATTGTACAATGTACGTACTAAGAAGATTGAACGTTCTCGAAATGTCATTTTTAACGAGAACCCTTCTCTAGAAGCACTTCCGAATCCTTTATATAATCTTAATCTTCTATCTCAGGGAGATTAGATCGATCTACAATCTTCATCTTCGTCTCCTTCAGATCGTTACGTTCCAATTGATTTTGTACGGCCGTATCTTGATAATCCATTCGGAGTTCTGTCTAGTTCTCTACCCTCTCTATCTGTTGAAGATGACATTGATGACACAATTCTTACTCCGGTAAACCCTCCGCTCGATCCTTCGAACCCTTCAATTCTGGAATACCGTGTTCCAGAAATTGAAAGTATTTCACTTCTAATGATCGACGTTCCCCTCCCCGATCCCGATACCTTCGATTTACCCGATGACGACGATAAAGTTGAAATAGCGGGTAGTTTAGGTAGGTTTATAGAGGTATAACGGGAGGATGATGGTCCCTACCTTGATGTAGGTGGGGTAGGGGTTCTCGTGGAACCACAGCTTGCTTCCCGGCAGGTTATTAATAAGGATTTACCCTAGGGTATTCAAATTGACTTCACACATCTGGATCTAATTCCAGATGATTCACCTGATACTGACTATGTTACCACTATCACTCAGTATCCATCGGATGGGACAGTACGTCGATCGACAAGGTCTAAAAAACCCAGCTAGGCATATATTGAAAGCTTGGCTAGCCGATCTTTCTTTGACAGCAATGTCCTCCAGCTTCTAGCTGACACCCTAGAGGTACTGATCAATCTTTTTTCTGCAGCTACGTTAAAAGAGCCACAGTATATATCTTCTAAATTGACAGTCAATGATGTTGGCTTCGAACCTAATGGCTGGAAAGAAGTAATAACCTGTGTCGAGAAAGACAAATGGCTAACTGCTGCTTATAAGGAACTTACTCGACAGATTAAGAACGGCACCTAGCGAAGGATTCCTCGCTCCTCTGCGAAGAACCGCCGGAAGCCCCTTTCTCTTCGATGGGTCTTTAAAATCAAGCATGATGGAACCTACAAAGTAAGGCTTGTCGCCCGTGGATTTCGTCAGATCAAGGATCTTGACTTTTATAAGGTCTATACTGTCGTTGCCAAGCCGATGTCTTTCAAGATCTTCGTAGCTATTGCCGCTGCTAAAGGCTGGCCAATTCATTATATCGATATCGTGACGGCCTTTCTTTATGCCGAGCTTAAAGAACCAATTGAAATTGAGCTTCCTAAAGGACAAAGAGAGCTATATCCCGATGACATCGGTCTCCTTATAAAGACGATTTATAGGTTAAAACAAAGTCCCAGAGAGTGGTATAGACTGCTACACGATGTCTTGATCTCTATGGGATTCACCCGTACCCAGTCAGATCATTCAATCTTTATTAAGTGTGCCTCTGGGAAGGCTCCGTTATTCATCATGATCTATGTCGATGATCTGCTTGTTCTGTTACCCTCTAAGCAAGAAATTCAACGGTTTAAGATCGCAATCGCTAAGCACTTTGATACGTCTAATAAAGGTGTCCTTAAACGATACCTTGCTATCAATGTCTACTACAATAAAGGGGTGATTTACCTCTCTCAGTACGACTACGTTGACAAAATCCTTGCTCGCTTCGGTCTTAAAAACTGTAAGGCAGTTGCTACTCCAATAGATAAGAAGCAACCTTTGATAGTATTTGACGGCACCGCTTCAAAAGCAGAGATCAAAGAGTTTCAAACCAAAATCGGAACACTGATCTGGTTAATGGTTTCGACCCGTCCTAACATCTCGTTTGTCGTCATTAAATTGGCGAAGCATGCCAAGAATCCAGGCCTATTACACTTCCAGGCATTGAAGCGAGTGTTTCGTTACCTTGCTGGCACGAAGTATCTGTCTATTTCGTTTCATGGAAATGATGCTTTATATGGGTACTGCGATACAGATTGGGCTGGCCCCCATAGTGAAAAAGGCCTCTCTACGTCTGGCTTCATTTTTATAATAGCCGGTGGAGCAATTTCGTGGACTTCAAAGAAGCAATCTTGTGTTGCTCTGTCTACTACCGAGTCCGAGTACATTGCTGAAGCGCTTGCTACGCAGGAAGCTATTTGGCTCACTCAATTATTGACGGAGATTGGGATTGCTGGGTTTCTACAAAAGCCGATTTGCATTTATGCCGATAACAACGGAGCCATTGCTTTGGCTTCAAATCCAGAGTTTCATGTCAATACTAAGCACATTGCCATTAGGTATCATCGCCTACGAGAAGAAGTGGCAGCTGGTTCAGTGAAATTCGTCAAGATTCCCACTGCCGACATGGCAGCAGATGGATTGACAAAGCCCCTTGGAAAGATCATGTTCCGGAGATGGATCTTGCAGATGGGTCTAGTGCCCTATAAAACTGCATGATTTCTGGTTTACATACAAAAAATGGGGGGGTTATTTCAAAGTCAAAACCTGGTTATTTACACTGGAGGATTGAGTTGTTTAAACTATGTTGTGACGACTATTGCACTAGTCGTGGGGGGTGTTGGAAGGTCACGTGACCACCACTGTTTGCTCCCAGTACATTAGTCTTAGCATCTGTAGATAGCTTCTTCTCTTTCTCTCTCTCTAGCGCAATACAGTGATTTTACCAGCGTACTTACTAGTCCCTGGCCTTCTCTGTAACACCCCCGAAGCAGCGTAAGCTCCTCGGCCATGCTACAAGTTTCATTGCAGCGATTGACAATCAGCAGCAGGAAATACTACTTCAACATTGTGAAGAATGCCAAAGAGTTCGAGCGCTCTGACAAGTATCCCGAAATCCCTGGAGACCCTTCCTGGGAGTCTGTCACCGCTGAGGACATTGGCCCCGTCGTCATTGTCGCAGACTCAAATGATATCATTGCCTAGCAAAGTTACATATTGAAGCTCGATCCACTGTCCTCCCCCGTATCTACAACCTTCATCTCTTGGTTGTTTACACATCGAGTCCACGACATGTCTTTTCTTGGGGAGTGAAATTCAGTTCCTTGACCACACGTTAGTTCGCAGTCTTCGCTGTTTGCTGGTTAGAATGCTATCTAGCTAGCAACTTAATATACTGTGAACTTTTATTATCTACATTCCAACTTAGCAGCATCGATACTAACTAGGTCTATATCTACTATATGATTTTACTCGATATGTTATTGCCAGGAAAAACCACTGAGAAGCACTGAGTAGATATCTAAAGATCAAGGAGTGCGATTCCGATACTCCTAGTGGATCCCCTTACAAGAGATATCTTCCTTTGAAGTAGAATTAATATTCAATGGGAGGCTATCATCTTATGGGCGGCTATTCTCTAGCTTAACTGTAGAATGTTCGCACGCCAAAGACCTCTGTCACTAAGTTTCGACAGGTAGAACTTAGTGCTTCTCCTCCTTCGTCGGGCTTTTACCCTTCTTTGTAGCATCATGTTTCTTGTCATCATGTTCCTTGTCAGCGCGTTCCTCTGCGGCACGTTCCTCTGCGGCACGTTCCTCTGCAGCACGTTCCATCATGCCCTTGGACCAAGGTTCCACGAAGTTTCTGATGAACCTCTCGACGTCAGAGGTATAGTCAGATTCCTCGGTAGTAGCCGTCTCAGAGGTATCCGTCTCGGGGGCAGCCACACTGGTGGTAGCCATACTGGCGGTATCCACACTGGTGGTAGCCACGCTGGGAGCAGGCGCCTGGGTGTGAGTAGAGTTTCCTGGCTAATCGACTAAATCAGTTTCAATGTTATTTAGATGAATAGAAGCCGGCTTGCCTTACCCTGTAGTCCCCATAGATGTGACCGTTCGTCAGATTGTGTGCTTTCTTGAGCTTGGCATATTTCTTCTGGAACGACTTTCCACTAGCATAGCCGAAGTCTTTACCCACGAGTGCGAGATTGACCTATGACTCGAGTATTAGTATGTAGATCGTTAATTCAAACCAAAGTCTCACAGGCGCCCTCGATGGATTTTACCTTGTTGGTTTCTTTGTCGGTGTGTCTCTTGATCGAATCCAGATATTCCTGGTCCGGAGGGTCGTCCCTGTAAGAAGGCATTGTTCCAGCAACTTTAGAAGGAAATTTCGAACCTCCTTGGATGACGATTTCGCTTGTGAGAATAAAGGAAATATTAGGTAGAAAGGTAAACAATTAGAACAGACAAAAACTCCCGCGGGAAACGACATGATGGCTTAACGCGCGTTGCTCGCCGAGGGCCCTGTCAGGCTCAATTTATTTCAAATCTATAATAATATTTTGCCCCTTATGTCACTTCTGTAACTGTCGTTTCTGTAACTGTCGTTTCTGTAACTGTCGCTCCCGTAACTAAATGGGTCTACGAATCGGATTTGTTCAAGATGCGATGCACAAGACCACCTCGATCTTCTTTGGGTGTATACGGAGGCCTGCCTGCGCAAGGTATAATCATAGTTCCCGTTAGAATCTGCCAGTGAGAAAATAGCGATTCATCAAGCTGCCATAGCGATATAAGCTTGCATTGTACCTTTAATCAAAACTACGGGCTTGCCTTATCTTATAAGAGTTTCCCTGAATGGGTAGTGTGAAGAAGGTTAGACTCACAGAGTGATAGTAGTTCCATTAAGTCGGTGACTTTTACGTCAATTTCTACAGTTAGCTGTGCGTGAAAGAGTGTGTACATTGCATGGGCTTAGAAATAATTCACTTCCCTGCTTAAGGTTTTACCATAGGTTGTGCTATATATACAATGTACGCACGCTGCCGCCGCCAGATAAAAATAATTATCAGACTTCTCCAATACCTGCAACGATGTCTAAACATACACCCCTTAAATTTGGAAAGCGAGGAAGAACACTGAGGCTGGATTAACATACATGATTGTAATATCAAGTGGTACTAGCTAATGAACATATGAATGACACCTTTCCAGTCTCCAACGTAACCTAATCAGTCTTGAATATTTTCAACTTTGATAACAGCAGGCTGATCTTCCTGACTCCCTGTACTCGGTATCCCCTCCTCGGTCTGTTGTTCTTCTTCGACTTTTACAGTATGGCCTTCCTGGTGGGAAGGAGGGCGTGGTTCCCAGCTGATGGTTGGGGCATAATTGGTAAAAGAAGGCAGTTGGTCAAACTCCCGCAAGTCAAAGCTGGATTGAGTGCTGGCTGATGAATAAGGGTAACCAGCTGAAGCGGTAGAGAACTGGTATGGATTCATAAAGGAGGATGTTGGGCTGGGTGATGATATCCTAGATGGTATGCTTGACGCCAGTTGGAACTGCATCGACGTAAAATCTTGAGGAAAATAATACTGTCCTTCGGTGCTAGTCTCCGACATGAACTGCGGAGAATGTTGCATAAGGCTCTGTAAGTTTGAGTTGCCTTCAGTGCCTGGCTCGCACTTTACAAAGGGATTGCCTGAAAGAGAAGAATCTATAGATTCAATGGTGGGCATCATGAGTGGTGGAGCCATTGGGAATAGCCCTTGCATCTCAGGAGGAGGGGGTTCCATGGTCTTTGCCTTCTTGCTCTTTCGCTTTGGTTTGTTTGCCCCTGTAGTTCCTTCCATCTGTTGTCGGAAGCGGGAATACCTCATACGAGCAGCATGACCATTGGAGACTTCGACATCGGAAGCTACTCGATTCCAATCGACCTGTCATACTCAAGTAAGATTAGATCACTCTTCGGTTAATGGTTGGGCAATACACTGACCGACTTCAGATCCAATTGCTTGATGATTGTGTAGAGAAATTTTGCAGTAGGAGTATCTGTCTCCAAAACTTTGTTCCGCTGACCCATGGCTGAAAAGATAGTCTCAGTAACAGGATAAAAAATGAAGTTGTGAGGACACTAGGAGGATTCATGAACAGTTTAAATTGGCTATATAACTGGTATAGGATCAAAAGATCATTGGGATATGTAGAGTGCTTGCCAGCCACATCAATGCTTTCTTTGTACTTTACAAATATAAGAGACAATAAGATGTGTGCCAATCCCATGCTACTTAGTTTGACTTGTCCAAACCCAATTTCATCCTGCAGTATCCCGCCTGCTTGTGTATACCTATGCTTTGAGTAACATACTTCAATGAATGTTAGTATTCATAGTCCAAAAAAGAGATTAAAAGAAAATCTTTCATTCCTTACGGCTTCTTAGAAGCATGCGAAAACTGATAGATGCTGAGGGGTTGGATTAAGGTGCGCAATGGGCACCACTGGGCTCGTGCGCTAAATATATTGGTCACGTGGTGGATATTTACCCTAGTCCGATTCATATCGGCATTGATCTTCTCAGTGGCAGTAAGAGGATGAATAGCCAGAGTTCCATATTAGAGACTGACTCCATCGAGCTAAATATAATGTACTACAGCTGGAGATTCTTCGGGTAGTAGAATGACAGATTGTGAACCGTGTGTGGTACTACAAAAGTTCAAAAGGCTTTTGATGCCAAGACAAACACATTGTACGGAGTAGGAAAAGGCATATACACCGCCCGGCCCCAGCGCTGGCAACATGCTGACTAATCCATCCCACATGCCCCGGGGCCCGAGCCGGGGCCCGCTTCCTACCTAGGTAGTCTTGGAAAGACCCGGTGTCGTTGACTCGATCAACAGCACTGATTAAATAGACGATCAATTCACACGAATATTCGCTCTTGGTTCTTTCGACAAGTGGAGATAGATTCTGGCCAAATCATAATCATGACTTTAGTAGCTATAGGGGCGTGCTACCTTGATACAATTCTAATGTGAGTTATTTCTGTTGTGTCCTGAAGTGTCTTGTATTTGGAGTCTGGTATTCACATGCCTTGCTTAGAGCCCCCCATTACCCAGGTGAAGATGAGAAGCTTCGTGCGTCCAGAATCAGTCGCCGGCGCGGCGGGAACTGCCCGAACACTCTGGAAGTTCTCGGCCAATTGTTACAATATAGGCCGTCGAGGGCTGAATCATCGCTGAATCTCATTACTATCCTTCCCTCCAAAACATCGTTGGCGTCTCAACAAATACAATCAAGCTTGGGGAATATTGTTCGACTAGATAGCTGCATTTACCGAGAGAGATTCAGTGAGCCAGCTTCCAGCTACATAATTATGAGCCAGGAGACCGGTAGTAGGACGATCGTCAATTACAACGAACTGCCTGAAATGACTCGCTTTGAGTTCGCAACAGCCATTGAGCCCCTTCGTGCCTTAACTGATCGTCCCTGGTTTCATTTTGAGGTATGTTAAATATTGGGGAGGGACTCGGCGGATCACAAATTCAAGCTAACTTGGACTCAGGGTCGTGCACCAGATGTAACCTTAGAATGTATTCATCATCTCCGGGAGCATTTTTCAGAGGCTAAAATCAGTGTTGAGGTGGAAAAGCCAGGCCGGTTAGGCTTGCAGGAGCTCGCAGATGCGGCGGACGTTGTCATCTACTCCAAAGGCTGGGCCCAGGTGAGATTTTATTCTCAGCCTTTTCTAGGCACATCTAATATATGGGCAGAACAACGGATATACGTCCGCTGAGGATTGCTTACGGGATCAATCATTGAGGATAAGCCGAGGGTAGGCTTTACGGTCCAAGTCCCCAGATAAATAATCTAACCTATCGTTTATAGAACCTTGCTGTGCTGTACTTGGGGCCATGACGGGGCTGCAGCACTTGAACCAAAGACTGGCAAGTTTGCTCATGTCCCGGCCCATACTGAAGAAGTGGGGGTCACCGAGTGAGTTTTGATCGTTCCAATGTACTACAGCACAAATTAGACCATACTAATAGTCTATAGTACTGTTGGAGCGGGAGATACGTTTAATGCTGGCTTGCTATACGGTCTTATATATCGGAGTCATGAATGGGACTTCCGAAAGAGGTTGGAATTTGCAAATCTTATTGCTGGCTTGAAGGTCACCCAAGAGGGCTTTGCAGACCTGCAAAGAGCGTTGAACTTTCCGTCATATTGACCTACTCTTTACTCGACTGGATTCAACTAGATCTCGAAATCGTCCAAATCAAAGTCAAATATTGGGTCAATGCAGTAGGTTTGGCGTTTAGGATCAAAGCGGTCGTGGTATAAAATAGCTTTTTAAGGCCTTGATCGGACTATGTAGACAACATAAATGAATGGAATGGAAGATATATATTTCGCCACAATGAGACTTTTTTTTCGGTTGTGTTTCAATCCACTTTTTAGAGCGACATTAGGCAAACAAACCATAATCTGACAAGTATGAAACACTATGTGTATAGTAAATCACATTTCTCTAAAATCATGAAGCAAGGTGATGTATGGATTAAAAGACCATGATTTATCACACGAGGTTTGGCAGGAAAATAGGCGGTCAAGAACGGCAAATGTATTGCTAGCCCACCTGGCACGTGACATTGCAAGGTTCAGGGCGGTGGGAAACAAAAAATATTCTGCCATCAACTTTTTGATCGCGGCCTTCTTTTGCACTATCAATTTCAATTCCATTTTGACACAATCAGCAGTCACCATGGCATCAGTTTACAAGAGTGTCTCAAAGAAGTCGGCTAGACAGCCAACCGACGATCTGTCCGACGAGGATATCGAGATGGAGGAGCTCCTCAATGCGGAAGACGACACCACCGATAGCGAAGAGGAAGAGTCCGATGATGGCGAGGCAGCTGAGGTTGTGAAGAAGCAGCTTGCTTCTGGATTCATGCCCAAGACCCGCGTTCTTATCTTGACCTCGAGAGGTGCCTCTTACCGGTATGGATATTGCGCCTTGAGATACGCTGAATGGATTTACTGATCTAACAATTTGCTTTTCTCTAGCCACCGACACCTGATGTCTGATATTTGTGGCCTCCTACCCCATACCTACAAAGAGACTAAGCTAGACACGAAAAAGAAGGCCGCCGGATACAACCTCCTCTTGAACTCTCTTGCCGACCTGCACTCCTGCAACGTTATCTTCTTCCTCGAGGCCAAGAAGAACGGCCAGGATCTTTACCTCTGGCTTTCACGCCCTCCTAATGGTCCCACTATTAAGTTCCACCTGAACAACCTGCACACAATGGGCGAGCTCGGCGCTGGATTCGCAGGGAATTGTCTGAAGGGCGGCCGCGGGTTGGTCGTGTTCGATCGCTCCTTCGACGAGCAAGGCCCGGATATGGGCGCTCCTGGTAGTGAATACCGTGCGCTTGTTCGGGAGATGCTGCGCGGAGTTTTCTGTGTGCCCAAGCGTGGTGTTAGAGGCATGAAGCCATTCGTCGACCGCATCATTGGTATCTTTGGAGTGGACGGCAAGATCTGGATTCGCGTCTATGAGATCCGCGAGTCTGAGCCTGGCAAGAAGAAGGAGGGCGAGGAGACTATCAAGCCCGTACCGAAGGGCAAGGACAACGCCCTGCCCGAGGTTTCTCTGGTCGAGATTGGCCCCCGCTTCGTTCTGACCCCCATTGTCATCCTCGAAGGCAGCTTTGGTGGACCCGTCATCTACGAGAACAAGGAATACGTCAGCCCCAACCAAGTCCGTAGCGACATTCGACAGGGCAAGGCTGGCCGTTACTCCCAGCGCCGAGACGGCCAGACTGATCGGGTTGCCAAGCGCTCCGATCTGGGACTGTCCGAGAACTCCGTGCGGAAGGTTGATGCATTGGACACAAGGAAGCTGTTTGCATAGGGGGTTTATGTTTTTGTTTCGTCGTGCTATTTCTAGACTTGATATCCCTCGGGATGATGTTTCGACTACATGTGTATATTTGATGCGACGCTTTCATCATGGTCCGTTAAGGCGTCGGGGCAAAGTCTCATCCTGGTTAATTTCAAAAGTTGATTATTTCTCTCTGTTCCTTGATTTTGCCGGTTTTATTGCCATCTGGAGAGCTTTATCTTTAGAATCACTACGGAGTAGAAGGCAAGTTGGTTGGACCCCGTGGACGCAAGGGGCAACATTAGCTAAGCGCCATATAAAGCCCTCGACGCCATCGCCCCAACCCAGTCTGCCTCTTGTCACCATCCATCATGGCATCATTTTTGTTGGCTAGCCCTATATGGCTACAAAGAGGTTGCTCTTCCAATATGTTTACTCTTGATCCCACGCTGTCTCTTGTTTTCATTAGCCCCAACGGCGGGGTCTGTATCCAATAGGTCCAACGTACCGGCGACAAGTTTACGGGTGTTGATTGCTTCACTTTATGATAAACACCTTTCAACTTGATTCATACATAAATCCTCGAAAATTAACCGTGGTTTTTCATTTCGGATTACTTTAACACAAATAACAACCTCTCATCAGGTAGGTCGTCACTCGTTGACGCTCTATGAGTGAGTCATTCTAATAGTGTTATTCTTTATAGCAACAACATAGATATTTCCACCATGCGAATTGATCATCTTGCAACGGAGCTTCTGCTCCATATATTTCGTTCGTGCGACTCAGTCTCCGACGTCTTAAATTTATCAGCCATCTGCCGTCGACTTCACCGCGTCCTCAACTCAACAAGCAAGCTGTATATCCTAGCCAGTGCCGCGGAGACGGAATTTGGCCCCCTCAACGATATCATTCAAGTGGTGACACAAAATGAGAGTCAGCCTGCTCATCTCATCCGACATGCGCCTATGTCTGGCCCCCTTTTGAAACAGGTCATCCAGCTCGGCCTGGTGGCGCGAAAATGGGAGACCATCTACCCATTTAAGAAGTGGAAGATAGACTTCGAGAATCGTCGCTCGCTCACCGACGAAGAGCGATTACGGCTGCGTCGCGCAGTATACCGCCTATGGCTGTATCATAGTGCATTCCATTCTGGTGTTTATGATCGCCATTCTCGTAGTCTCCGCCATGTGGTGTTGGAGCGCGCTCAGTTGCTCCACAACTGGTCCACTCAAGAGCTGGCCGAGATTGAGGATTTGCGCATTGTCATGGGTGATATTGTCCAGAATCACATATGTCCTAGTAATGGGACCATTCAACGCAAATTCCGAAAGCGGTATCCAGACAGCAGCCATCAACTCTCCTTCAATATCCACCTCAATTATCCTTCGCCTTCTACTACTTTTCTGTCTTCGCATGATCACTCCTTGGTTCGCAAAGGTACTGAGGCCTCGATTCAGCAATACTTCCACACCGCTCACCCGAGTAATTATGCCGAGTCGTCAGCCAAATACCGGTCTCGGTTCCGCAATGACCTCTCTCATGACCCAGGGTATGAAGGTTGGGGTGACGAGATCCCACATTACTATATTATACAGGACATGCTGAAGCTTGATCCTGGTCAGATATTATGGTTGCGCGACCATGCTTTGCTGAAGGAACAGGTAGAGGAGTACATATGGTCTCTTGGGGAATGGTTCCGCAACAACGGTGAAACATTCGGTGACACATTGGAATATGTCATGAATGAACGTGGGCTTGAGGTTGGTGAACTTCGATCTGCAGTGGCTAGTCGTGAAATGGGCATTGTCCTAAACTAGATTTGTGCTTTTTTGACCTTTTAAATTGATGGAATACATTCATGTGCGGATTTGAATTTCTCTTTACAGTTTCACACATAGAAAAGGCGACAAAGAAGTATGTTGTAGTTGAACTCATGCAAACCCTCGAAATATGTGCCCCCTATCAACACAGTCAATCATAAATAACGATCTACTTTCCTAGCAACTGTTGTCTGTGGACACAGGCACTAATTATTACTATGGGGCTGTTTGGAAAAGCCTAGCCCAGAGAAATTAAATTGCCCTGTGGAGCACGTGGACCCTGTCTTCGATAGCACAGGACATTCACATTAATAGATTGTCTCCTTGTTGGCATTGCAGGACTACAGCATTGTGCAATCTTACTAAAAGGGATGGAATGAATATACCAATTCGAGAATTTTCATACAAAAGCCACGCAGCCGAAATGTTAGACGCCCAACCAAGCTGTGTTCACCATCGTAGAAACATATCAAGCACACCAGTTGAGCGAGCAGAAAAAAAAGGGGATCAATTTCGTTGAGGACCACGGGAAAAAGAACAAAAAAAAGGACCGAAGAAGGGGAATCCGGCAGCCGGTAACATCAATTCTGGTAGACCCCTATCTTCCCGTGTGGCTTCTCCAACAGATCCCGCCTGTGTATCATCTTTGTAGCCGTCGAATTTCAGACTCCAACACAGATCAAGACCATCTCAATGTCACATCACAAAAGAAGAGTCGTGGCAGTCAGTGCATCGTCCCATGAAGGGTAGTCTAGCAGCAGCCCGGCTTCTGCTCGCTGTCTTGCTTGCTGGGGTCGATAACGGGACGGCGGTCGAGGACCTGCTGGCCACCCTCTCCGTTGTCGAGAGCCTTGCTGGAAACGATGCGGTAGATTTCTACCAAAATTAGCACTCTATACCAATTTCCAAGGAATCGTCAACAAACCTGTAAGGATGTTCTGGAAAGCCAGCTCGACGTTGCTGGCATCGAGCGCGGAGGTCTCGATGAATGAAAGGTTGTTCTCGCCTACTAAATGTCAGCGCCATACAATGAAACCGATTGTCGGGAAACGCACTGGCGAACTGCTTGGCCTCGTCTGTGGGGACCGCACGCAGGTGGCGCAAATCGCTCTTGTTACCAACGAGCATGATGACGATGTTTGAATCGGCGTGATCCCGTAGCTCCTTCAACCACCGGTTGACATTCTCGTAGGTCTGGTGCTTGCTAATATCGTAAACGAGGAGGGCGCCGACAGCGCCACGGTAGTAGGCAGAAGTAATCGCACGGTAGCGCTCCTGACCAGCGGTATCCCAAATCTGTGCCTTGATTGTCTTCGAGTCGACTTGAATGGACCGGGTCGCGAACTCCACACCGATCGTTGACTTCGAGTCTAGGTTGAATTCGTTGCGGGTGAAACGACTCAAGAGGTTAGATTTACCAACACCAGAGTCTCCAATAAGCACCACTATTCACTCCACAATGTCTCCGCGGTCAGTCTTGGGATCTTTTGGGAGGGAGCACAAGGGGGGTGGTGGATAAGACGAGGGCGGGCATCATCGTAAGGTGGCGACGTTACCTTTGAAGAGAAACTGCGGGGAATACCATCGTCAGCATATATTTCTGAGACATGAAGGAGCTCGTTGTCCCAAATCAACTCACGTCATATTCGTCGTTGGCCATTTTGAATGTGATCGAGCTAGTAAAGCTCGAAAGGTGGTATCAAAGTACAGGTAAACGTGGCGGGCAAGTTAAGACTGAGGGGTGTACTTGGAGACTTAAGAGGGCGAAAGTCAGATACGTCAGTACTGAGTTCGCAGCAGGCAGAAAGAAAACCAGGGGAGCACACACACACGGGAAGTAATAGAGAATCAGCAGGGGATAGTCAGTGATACCTGGGCCGAGTGTCTCTCCTTAATCGTGGCCCCCCATTATGGCTTAGCGTAACGATCACGTGGGTTGGCGTCTGACGCGCGGGCGGTATCTTTTATCAATCGGCAGTAACCATTATCTTTCTAGATGTTTGTTCTTGCTCGCCTTGCTTTTGCTTTTGCTATTATCCCCACGTTTTCCCGCCTTTCATCTTTCCCATATCCGATAAATATGAAATACAGTATGTATTTACTCTATCTTGATACCCCCAGGGCCCCGCAATTCAAAGTTTCAACCCCAGCACTATCTTGCTTGCACCATGGGCATGGGACATTGAAAGCTACATAGTGGATCATTTGTTGACTCAGTTCCTAGGAGACTACAATGGCATCTGATTCTGAAACGAACAATGCCTCTGACCAAAGTGGAATCGGTGATGCCGACTCCTTGGCATCTACAGCAGAAAGTGAGCCAGAAGCGGAGTACCTCGTGAATGACATCCATGCAGAACGGAGGTTCTACGTTGAACCGGATTCTGAGGATGATGAAGGCGTCTTCATCACTCAGTATTTGGTCGAATGGGCTGGATACAGCATGGACAGGTGCAGTTGGGAGCCGAAGGAAATGTTTACTTCGGAAGAGACCCTAGATGGATGGGAAGAGAAAAAAAAGCAGATCGCGGCTGGCAGGGAGCTTCCATTCGATCTCAAGGAATGGGAGAAGGAGATGGCTTTGTTGGAGAAGAAGACAAAGAAGCGAAAAGAGGACCGAAGGCGCAAAAGAGAACAAAGGGCACGACGGAAAAGCCTCCCTCGGGCTGAATCATCTCGACCGGCCAATTCCGATATCATAGATACCCATGATCCTGAACCAGGTGTTACATCTCGCAGAGCTCCTAGGCGCCTATCCGCGGATTCCACCGCTTCGACCTTGTTTGTTCCAGCTGAAACCCCACCGCTATCAAAACATGTGGCCCTTCGCCAATCGCTGCACCAAAGAGTACCTGCCAGATCAGCTACCTCTAGTGTTCAAACAAACCGGAACGAAACTCCGGGATTAACACGCCTGATTGCACAAACAGCAACCCCAAACAAGCTTCTAAACTCGCGACCTCAGCTCGCAAAGAAAACCAACACCAAGCAGAACCCTCCGGCGCGCCGAAAAAGCCCACCACAAGCAGCAAAGCCAACATTGTCTTCTTTTGCTACGGGCCCAGGGGCCAAGCGCGCGTACCGAGAAAATAAATGGAGCGACCGAGCACCGGATTTGTCTCAAATGGAACTGATGAAACCTTCCGAATTCCCACCCAGGATGAATATAGGCACCACCACCTCAGTCGTGGGCCCATCTGTAACAAGTCCCAGATCCCCGGAAGCCCAAACCCAACCCACTTCTCAAAATTCAGCCAGCTTGAACGGTCTCATAAAGACAAACACTGGTCAAGTAAACGATCAAGCTGCAGAGCAGCCACAGAAACCTGCTGTTCTCGTGCCATCGTCAGTCATGGCTCCTCCACTGCCTCGCACTTTACACTTAGGCCCCACTGCGTCAGTTTCTTCGTCGGCTGTGTTGTCTGGCCCCAGTGCACCGCCGAATCTGGAGATATCAGTTGGTCCTGTAGATTCCACTACTTCTATTTCCTCGCCAGCTACACAATTAGAGCCCCTTCCACAGGCCAACCTCGCCCAGCCTCCCGATTCTGTAGATACTACTGTTTCTACTTTCTCGCCGCCAGGTGAGGCTCCTTTGACATGTCCCGATGGGTGGTCGATATCTGCTCTTACTGCGCTCTCAGCAGCTGCTTATCCCTGCCCCACACCACAGGCCAATGCTGACAGGCCCACCGGTCCTCCGGCCTCTACTAGCTCAGTCTTACCTCCAGTTGTTCTCCCAGGAGCCCGTGCGGAGGCTACTTCAATGAAACCTGCTGGACTCTCTGGTTCTAGCCTTACTGCTCGGTCGCCGGCCATTCCAGATAGGCTGCGGGCAATGGTAAATCCTGAGAGGTATACTGAGAGGTATACTGAGAATCGAGACTCGCAGGACAGCCGCGAGACAGTCCGAGGTTGGAACAGCTATAGACCTAACCACGCACCTGTGGCCGATACCTACCGACCGTCAGAGCTTCCCCGTCGGTCATCGCCATCCCGACGGTCACCACCATATCGACGTTTATCACCCTCTCGTCGGCCACGGTCTCCGCCCTCTCGAAGGGCGTCGCCCCCGATCGACTGTCAAGGTCTTCTTTGCGTGGTATGGGTGATTATTATACTCCTCGGAGTCCATCTCCCACCAATTCTCGGATTCCGCCAAGATCTTCAAATTCAATCGGGTTGAATCAAGATTTATCAGCCAATGCTCGAACATTTGCCCCCACCGAACCTAGAGCTGGAGCATCTGCTCAACCCAGTCTTTCTATTACGGCCCAAATTGCAAGAATGCCGATGCGTGATAGCCGGGGGCCTGGTTGCAAGAGGATAGGTAAATACTGGTGTAATACAACACTGGGAGAGATTCTTGTCCACGTCTTTATCGGACCCAACAAGAAACCCCTGGGTGCTTTCAGATTATGCGGCATCCATCCGAATATCCGGAAGTCTTTGATGTCGGCTAAGAACCCGAAAACAAGCCAAGTTGAGGTTTGGTTTAAACACCTGTGCACAGTCGGAGAGTACGAAGGATTATGCGCGTCCAGTGTCAGTATCAAATCTATAGACTTGTCTCTTATATAATGCTAACATTGGCTATAGGCGACCAATTCTGTGCTAAGTACAGGCTGGGTCGAGGGTTTCAGCGACACCAACGAAAATCTGTTTTATCTAGCAGAGGATCTGCGAAAGGACGATCTCATCGCCATTCACTATCCTCTGAGGCCAAGAAACGGGCCTAACATTGTCTGGCTTGCTTGGTCATGCGCATCACAGGAATTCAAATTTCCAAGCCCTAGGGATGAAGTGCCACCCGGCATTCCTCTGCTTATTGCCGCTCGCACTATGCTCGCACCGATCGAAGTTCCAGGCTCAAGTGGACGTAGCCAGCCTATTGGTCAACCGCATGGCCTTTTGCCAGATGCATCACTTTCACTGCGCGTCGAGCCACCTACTGTAAATGATGGCCTAGATTTCGGCAGTTCCCCAAAACAGTCAAGCTTTCATCACGATATGAGAATGGGTGGATCCTTGCACTTGCGAGAGACGCCCGCCCCAGCGCCGGCCCAAGGCTTTCCGCTCACAAGTGAACCCAGGGGTAGTTTAATTTACGCTAACCCCCAGCCCCAAGATAACCTCACGGTTCAAGCGGCTACCTTGGGCAAAACCATTGAAGAGTTCATGAAACGCTGCAATATCAACGTGGAAGAACTTGCGACAATCGAGGAAGGTGGGCAACTGTCAAAGGCCGGTATTTTCTATTTGCACTTTCCCCCGGGCAATGAAGAAATCCACCAGGAACTGCAGTTTCTGCAGGGGGTCTTGAGGCACCATGATAAGATTGTTCTCACAAGCGACAGCCCCGGAGATTGGGCAAAATTTATGCAGAACAGCAGACAGGGCGTGGCCATAGTATGTGATCTATATTTGCAGTTTCACAATTGTCAAACAACTAACCGAGAGCAGTTTCACGAATCGTTCGCTGGATACGATATGTTGCGTCCTACACTTAATTCTGTGCTTCCTACCCACTCGTTCAATTTCTGGATTGTTCGCATTCAAACTCCACTCAAATTAGTTGATCCCCGTTATTATTCACCGGGTGACCATCATCTACGCATCTTTCCATATGGGGGTGTCATATTTCTCACCGAGGATATGTTGACAGACCTAAAAGGGGTAGCGGTCACTCTCCAATGGATTCGAAGTGCTAACAAGTATAAACGCAAATCCTGGACCTTGATGTTTTTCCCTGGCATACTTGAGTGGATCGAAAGGAGGCTCGACGATGAAAATCACTCGCAAGATCATGGACTGTATGTCATACCTCTTCACCACCAGTTTGATTAAGCTTCTAACAAACTTAAATGTAGTCTGCTGCTTATCTACACGTTGATCATCAAGAACAACATCACGGACCCTCGCGTGGACTTGTTCGATAAAGCAAGTCTACGCTTCGACTTAAAAAGCAACGTCATCGCACCCTCTCTCAGTGACTACGGCACTCGCACAAATCACCACGGCCTCAAAATCGAGGACAAAGTTGAACGCGACGCAGATCATCTAATCGAGTTCTTCGCAGGGTGGTCATTGGTTAACATACCACGTTTCCGGAATTTCGTCGCTGTCACGTCTCTCGGTCCTCTCACTGGACCACGGTGGGACGAATGGGGCCATATGACTGTCATGCGAGGTGGTTTCAACCATTTCTTTAGACGGTTCAAAATCGACCAAAAGACCATTATGACCTACCTGTCAGGTGGTTCCACCTCACAGGCTTCTACAAGCCAAGCAGCCACCCCGATGACCATGAGCACACCCCAGACACCTAATTGGGCATCTCATAACTCCAACACTGCCATTCAATCTACCTTCAAAAACAGCCCAAACGATAAAGGCATGAGCAATTACCCTGCTCCCTACAAGTGATCTTCGCGGCGTTACGACCGAAGTAGGTTACGTCACACAGGCGTGATTATGCTCATATTTCTCTTCCTCTTCTTGCACAATTTTTTATGATACCCCCATCAGTTTGTTCTTCAGCGCATTATACCTAGAAAGCTATGAAAGCTACGAAGTCATGAAATGAACCCAAAATTCTATGAAATTCCGCCTAGGAGACTTGTAGCCGTGTATACTAGTTTTGTCCACTTACATTCAAATTTGAGATCCAACGCTTGATCAGTAATCGGACACCTACCATACGAATGTTCGGAATTTCAGAAAGTATGGCTTTGCTAAACTGCACGCTAATTGCCGCCAATGCAACTTGGACATGAAGAACAACACCCGGAAAGACAAAAATAGTCAACGGGAATGAGATGAATGCATACCATTTATTTACACTCAACCAGTGGCTCGATTCTGGTACTCCTGGAAGTTTGACGCATTGGGGCCATCCACATCATCTTGCGTCTTAGTCTTTTGATCCTGGTCTTTTTTCTCCCCGCGAGTTTTTGCTTCCCACTGGCTTTCCTCGGCGGAAATCATAGCATGGAAACGTCCACCCTGTCCACGGGCAAGGTAGATGGGCTGTTCCTTGCGCTCGGCCACAGCCTGGGTCACGAGGACGAATTTCACGCTCGAGCCGGGCGCTTCAAACATGGCGTCACTGAGAATAGTTTCCATCTCAGTTCGTAGCGCGCGTGCACCGGTGCCCATTGTGAAGGCATTTCCGGCAACTTTATGGAGTGCCGGTGTGGTGAAACGTAGCTCGATACCCGAGAGGGAAAATAGGGTTGTGTATTGGGCTAGAAGGGAGTTGCGGGGTTCAGTTAGGATACGCATAAGTAAGGGTTGAGATAGTGCAGAGAGAGCGGCGGTGACGGGAATCCTGCCGATCAGCTCAGGGATGAAGCCGTAGCTTTGCAGGTCTGAGGGTGTTAACAGGTCGAGTGCGTTGAAATAGGTTGGCTCGGCGCCAGAACCGGCTGGCGAAGCAGAGGAGAAGAAAGGGAGGTGCTTCTTATACAGCGCTTCTTCCTCAGACCCTGGGAGGATTGGAAGTGGCTGGTTGGTAGAGATATTTGGCGAGCCAGGGAAATCACTAGTGTTCGAGGCGGGCCGAACTGGCTGGCCAAAGCCTATGGACCCACGAGATATTCGATCCATGATGGCTTTGTGCAGTCCAACAAAAGCGCCAGAGAACACGAACAAGATGTTGTCTGTGCGCACATTGTACACTTCTCCCTTCCCGCCTGGATTAGGGTTATTAGGTTGGAAAGACCCATTCCCTAATGGACTGTTGGAGGGGAAGCTGTTTGGGGCACTAGTTGCGCGGGGATTTTTCTCTGGCTTGGCCTGAACCTGCACGGTTGTGCCTTCAATGATCTTGAGAAGCGCCTGCTGTACTCCTTCGCCACCGACATCCTTGCCATGACTAACCTTTGCAGCTGCGATCTTGTCCACTTCGTCAAGAACAATAATTCCACGCTCTGCCTGCTCCACATTGTAGTCTGCAGCTGCCAAAAGTCGGTGAACACACACTTCTGCGTCCTCTCCAATATAACCGGCTTGGGTGAACACAGTGCAATCGGAAATACTAAAAGGCACAGAAAGAACCCGAGCAAGAGTCTTTGCCATAAGTGTCTTTCCTACACCGGATGGACCAAGTAACAGAACATTGGACTTTTCAAGATGTAGCGGCGATGCATCGGCGAAATCTGCTTGCTCCAAGGGCGTGTTTGAGCGGGATTTGTGAGGTATGCTGGCAGGTTTCTGCGCGCTTGTCATATTATCTGCTGTATCGAAAAATAAATTAGAAAACAAGCAACAAAATCAAAAATCAATATGTAATATACCGTCTAAAGGATGAGTCTCGAGTGCTTCCCTCCGCTGACGCTTCGCGAGAGCCTCGGCTGCTTCTTCCTCCCGGCGCACTAACTCTTGCACGCGCTGGTAGTGATTGTACACGGCAACGCTGAGGACCTTCTTTGCGCGGTCCTGACCGACGACATATTGATCGAGATATTGCTTCAACACTTTCGGTGTGATGCGGGGGGCCCCAAACGCCGGAGTTGATCCTAATGGCCCAGGAGTAGGAAGTCCAGTTTCATAGCTACCAGTAAATGGCTGGCTTGTAAATTCTGACCGGTTGAATTGAGACAATGTCGGAAAAGTGGTGGAGGAGCTAGAGAGTTGGCGCGTGGACCAGTTGTATGATGGAGGAGGCCGACACCGGACAATGTCAGGACGAGCCAAAGTGGCCGGGAGGCGACGTTGGAAATGCCGCCACAGCATTGCTGGGCGCCAGTAAGTTACAGAGGTTTTATGAGAGATGGATAGACAGCCCTGAAATTGCGAAGTAAAGGAAGGACCTCGGAGGATTGGAGAGCGATGGATCAGATACCGGATAGCTTTCCCCGCAGGTGATCTTATCTGCTGAGTCATCTGCCTGACGAACAGGTGGTCCGGCTATTCACGGATAAAGTCAGCTACAGTTATCCACTTCTTGTGTCTTTAAAAACATCTTTTTAGATATATGAGAATGTAAGTCGGGGATGGAATCGAAGCAAATCAAGAGCAATATTTAGTGTTCAGAGCCCACACTGCATTTATATTTCCCTCAAGGTCAACCCTCAAATCATAGCAACACTCAAGTACAGGGCAATTATCTATAATCACCCATAGTAAAATTAGGAATGAAATAACACCCAAACACAACAAGTCTCGTGTCAGATATTTGGTGAC